TAAGCAAATTTACTTTAACAAATGCAGCATGAAATAAGTGATAGAAAAGAATTTAAAATTCATAGAAAAACTTAACAAGTGACTTTTGAAAAGACAGTAAGACAATGTTTTCATACTGACACAGGAGATCAATAGCAAATGGAATGTAGAAAGTCAAAGTTCATTTTTTAAACCAGTAGTGCACAGGACATATAATGTCACTTATGTCTGTATACACCTTCTTCTTCAGCCATCTCTGATCATGAGCTGAAATTCACTGTGTGCCAAAAATTGGTATTTAGGTATCTTAGATTTCCCCAAAGCTTAGTTGTTAGGTCTAATGGGTGTGGCCACATGTTGCTTTCCAGCTCCTTCACGAGAAGACAGTCTTATAAGACATGTTCTGGCATCTGTTCAGCACAGAGACACTGACAGAGACTGTCTGGCTCACACCTAATTGATATACATGTTTACTGAGTCTGCATGTCCTTTTATACAACACACCAGGGTTCCTTGGGCAATCCACGCCCTTTTTTTATCCGCCATACATCAGAAAGCTTTCCTTGCCAGTGTCCAGAGGCATTCTGTAAACATGTCCAAACCAACTCAATCTTCTTCCTTTGACAGAATTTGCCAGTGATGAACATTTTGTTTTCCTCTCCAGTTTTTCATTTGTGATTTCATTTGGTTGATTTGGAAAATTCTTCTTTGACACTTATTTTGAAAAGTATCTAGATTATGTGTAACTCCCGCTATTATTTGCCAACATAAGTAAAGTAAAGGGCCCTTTTCCATAGGGCATATAGAGCTAGACCTATATTTCATAGACCAATCGGCACAAGATAAGTGATGTGGTCAGCATTGTGCTGGCCACCTTTCCTTCCCAGGACGGCACCCGGTACCCACTTAAGGCTGGGTTGACCTTGGAGCCAAGGTCATTTTTTTTAAAAGTCCAGCCTCATCAGGAAGCGAACCCACGACCTTCCGATCTGCAAGTGAGCGTACTTTTCAACATCTGCTGTATATAAGTATTTCAACCCCCCCCCCCCCCCCAATATACTCTATATTCAAGTTTCTTTGATTTCGATATATTGTTATGCATTGAAAAATTCTTGCTTTGCTCTGCTTATTCCCAGGACACTACCTGGTAACCATTTTAGGCAGGGCTGACCTACGAGGCAAGGCCATTTCATTTTAATAATACACCCGGTGTGGCTTCAAACCCAAGTTCTTCGGGCCAGCAGGCGAGAGTCTGGAATTTAAATAAACAACACACCTCACAGGCAAATGTAATTAAAAAATTATATTGTTAAACAACAATAGAAACAATAAGAACTGAATGAATATTTCATTAACATTCAGAAAAAGGTCCCATAAGCAATGAACAAAGATGCACAAAAGCTGAATAATGTCAACCACATATGATGAATTAACACAATATAAAATATGCATCTCAAACAATGGGAGTTGCAGTAGTGTAGTAGCTAGCTTGTCTGCTAACCAGTGGTCAGGAGAGAGCCGGCGGATCTGTTTTTATATTGATCTTGGCTCTTAGGTCAAACCAGCCCAAAATAAGCACATGGAAATGTTCTTTTGTCTCCTCCCCCCAAAATTGTATATATATATATATGTGTGTGTGTGTGCATATATAAAGTAATAACGGCTTACATGACAATGATCACATCATCATCTAGTGTTAGCTTGTATACAAATATTTCCTGTGTGGGTTTATTTTAGAGGAAAAAAGAACGGAACACCCCCCCCCCACCCCTCTCCCACTTTCCATTTCAAAAAAGATATAAAGAGCAAATAATTTTACTGGAAACATGAAAATAAAATCAAATTCATTTATTAAAGAAGGAGATCTACTTAAAAATAACAACCAGGATGTTATTTCCTTTAAAAAAAAATGAGTCATTATGCTTAACCCTCTCACCCCAGGAACACTTTAAAAACTACAAACTATTATAACAAAACTATTTGGCTCTAAGAAATACCCCCCCCCCCCCCCCCAATCACCACCGATGTAATTTTGAGTTAGTGTCATAACCTCCTAAATGTTTGCATAGCAGCAAAAACAACCAACAGTAATTAACTATGAATAAACAGGTCACTACAGACAAGTCGGAAAAATAATTTATACAGAGAACTACACTCAAGCAGAACTGTTGGTTTTGTGGTTTCTCAGGGCAAAAGAGTTAACAGGAAATTTGAATGCTATAGTCTGGGACCGTGAGAAGTTAAGCAAATAATTAACGGCCTCCATTTTAGAGTTTAAAAAAAATTAAATAAAAAAAGAACAGGTCCAGTGAACCCTAATAAGCATGTTGCAAAATGTGACTAAGTAGGGTTGTGCGGAAACTGGATATGTTGAGCTGAAAGGCGCAGATATTGTAGCCTAGCTGTAAGCCACAACACACTGTGCCAACCATCCTGATAAAGAGGAAGACAGAAGAAGTATACACAAATATGGGGCCAGCACCATATACTCAGGACATTTCATGATGTGAAAATATTGATGTGTTGAGCAGAGAATCACCAAACAGGCACTTGAATGGAAAACAAATGGATGGAGCAAGCAAGGAAATTAAAAAAAAAAACCCAAAGACAAACTGATGAGAGAGGCTAAAGGTGTCAGACTGGATTCCATTCATGATACTGAAACAACTGCACACACAGAAGGTAATGGAAGAATTGATTATGAGCCCTATGTGACACACCATGGCGCAAAAGAATAATGATCATGATGATGTCTTTAGTCACAACCAGAAAAGTATAATCTTCATAATTTATTGTCTAGGCCAGTGTTTCCTAAACTTTTCTTAGTTGCGGAGCCTTTTTTTTTTCCAATTAAAATTTTTCCACTTCGCCCTAACCTAAGTGAAAGTGTGACTATTCGTATGTAAGAGATTAAAACAGAAATAAACCTTGTGTATCTTCGAATATTTCACGGCGCCCCTGTGAAGAGGTTACAGATCCCCGGGGCGCCGTGGCGCAAAGTTTGAGAATCACTGGTCTAGGCTGTAAGACATTCGTAGCCATAATTGTCCATAGCCTTCTATCTCGTGTGCTGTTAATTTTTACTGACATACAGATGTTCTTCCTAACAATAGCACAGAAAATATTTGGTTGCATATGCTGTATAGGACAGCGGGGGTCACTACACAGCATTTTTTCCAATTTATGACAAAAATATCACTTTTCAATGTGTTCGTTTTTGTAAAGTTCGGCATTCGTAGAATAGATTACACACAAAATGTATGTCACTTGTAAACAATTAAGCATTGAAAATTTAATACTGAAGACACCATCCCATGCACTTTTTAGGAAGTTTATAAAGTAGGTTTTCTAACAACTTTATATTTGTTTGTTGTGTGAGTAAAATTCTATAATCTCAGCTAATATAAAGACTATAAACATGAAATTTGGCGTGAATACTCCTTAAACAATATTATAGGAACAGATATATTTAAAAAAAAAGATTTTAAAAAGTTTTTATGTTTTTTAAATTTGATTATTGTCATATGATGCTAAATTATTTTTACTTGTTCAACAAACCTATACTTTAAAATTCTACAAAAAATATATAGAAACATCTTTAAAGTAAACAAACTACACCTGTACCTCTACAAAGGATTAAAGCTCATGAATCCATCATCAATTTCTAAATACTTATGTTTGTTTTTGAAATGTTAGGATTCTAAGTACATGTTTTTCCCCCAAGATGGTGACTATTGCCATGACAACCATAATTTTTTTTTTAAACTTAAAGTATGCAAATATATTAACATATATCCCTACAAATGACCATTATAAAATAATTGGTCTAACACTGTAAATTAAAAAAAAAATGTGATTGTTGTAGTGACCCCTTAACCAACCCAAAAAATTTTTGGCTGGGAAATGATGCAAATAGTTACTGGGATATGATTGAAACGAAAAATTATTTCTCAGAAATTAACATCCCAAAATTCATTAGGATAACTGATTCAGCTAACACAAAATTTGGTTAACTCTAGATCAACATATTTCTAAACATTTAAATTAAATAATCAACTCGAGATCAAAACAAATAAAGTTAAATTAAAGATAAAGCAGCAAAATAGGATACAAGTGCAAATGATACTATAGGAAACATGAAAATATTGCCAATTTTGTAATAAGCTCAGAAGGAAAAAATATACTTTTATAATGTTTAAAAAAAATGTATTTGTGAAATTAATTATTCTGAACAAAAAAAAAAAAATATAATTGTAAACATAAAAAGCACCTGTGTTGAAATTCTATGCTACAAGTAAATGTAGCCAAAAATAGCATAACTAGAATATCCTTGCACTGAAACCCGCAGAGTAAGAGAGACTGATAGAGACCTAATAAACACTAAGAAGATAATTACAGGCAGACATAAATAATCCTGGGAGGACATGGAGTGATTTGAAGGATTAACTTGAGTTTACCGAGGACCCATCCTCCTGCAGGGAATTAAACAAAGAAAAAAACTGAGGAAAAATAAGAAATGTAGACTAATGAGAAAGGAAATACCAGCACAGAATAACTTACTATAGTGATGGACTTTGAACTGGCTATTGTAAGTTAAACTAGCTATGATGGATAGTGACAGAGAAGTTAACTTCTAGTTACTGTATTAATGGGCAATGTTCCTAGTGCAGGTCCTGGAGCCCTGTAGAAGGGAAAACAAGTATAAACCTACTGCCTACCCAAAGCATGTCGTAAAAGTCGATTACCCGGGAGCTTCCTTTAAAGTTGGAGTGCATCTGCCTGAGAGGCAAGGAACCAACAGTCTGCACACAAATTAGTCAGATCTGTCAAATTGATACATATGCAACACTCATGTTATGGAACAGGACCGCAGTCCAGAAGTGGATGAACAACCAGAACTTTCCGCCAGAGTTTACAGCTGGTGAACGCGAAGAAGAAGAAGTAATCAGCAAAGTAATGGCCATAATCACAAAATAAAATTTTAAGCTATCACATGATGGAGTGCTTACTGTAAATAGATTTTACACAAGCACAGAACGCATACTATTCAATTCTGATAAAACTTGACTGAAAGTGGGTCTGTCAGCAGGTTTCAACTTCCAAGCATCTGTCATGATACTGTATATCTCTGGCGGGCATCCCTCAGGTGCTTCCATTCGATATCCTCCCTCAATATGTTTGATAACATCTGTTTGGTGCTGTGCAGACACAAAATAGTCATATGGGTAATGCAGTGATCTCAAAGTTATGGCAAGATATTCTTTATTATGCATGAGAATTAAACAAAAAAATTGAAATTTAATTTAACCCTTTCAGACCAAAGTGGGTGTTAATTCACTCTAACTTCTTATAGCCCATGTATTAAACAAAAAAAGTGAAATTTAATTTAACCCTTTCAGACCAAAGTGGGTGTTAATTCACTCTAATTTCTTATAGCCCATGCCGTGTGGGACTGGTAGTCATGTGTACGTACATTTTCACCTGTCCTGTGACCACTAGAAGAAACTAGAAGAAACTTTAACTCTTGGACAATAAGATTACAACATCATGTCAATCCACAACCTTCTGTCTCGTGTACTTTCAATTAATTCTGACACAGATGATCCTCCATGCCATGATATCGAACTCCATAATGTCGAACTCCAGCATCTTCTCTCAGTTTCTGTCTGCTTCTTTTCTTTTCCAACTTTCCCACTATCAAGATGAACTCCAGATTTTTCCTTCTTATGGTATGACCAAAGAATGTAGATTCTCTCCTTTTGGAGTCAGTTTTTTTTTCTTCTCTATCGTAAGAAGTGTTTACTTTAACTAATAAAGATATAATGATGATAAAGTTAAACAATTAGACCACGATGATAAGGGGATTAGGTAAATATCAGGACAGAGTCTATGTAATAAGTTGTATGCGAACCACCCTTAGTCACCTCTTTTGACCTGCTTCATGTTACAGGCATGATATGTTACAGAGGTACCAGTAGTAATTATACTACATATATTTTGACCAACCTTGTTACTTATTATCCAGCACATCGGTCCCAACTCGATTGTGCCCATCCTCTGATGACATGAGCAGCCATGTCAGTGTCTTAGCAGAACACGTATAGTCGCTTTTTTCTTTGTCCTGGGATATGCGGATGTTGTTGACAATGAAAGAGCTGATAGATTAGCCATCTCTACTTGAGCTGCTGATGGCCAGCCTATGGATCTCACCAGCACTGTTATTGTCTCCATTGTGCCCATCCTCTGACGGAGCAGCCATGTCAGTGTCTCAGCAGAACACAGAATAACTTTCTCTTTGTCCTGGGATATGCAGATGTTGACAATGAAAGAGCTGATTGATTAGCCATCTCTACTTGAGCTGCTGATGGCCAGCCTATGGATCTTACCAGCACTGTTAATGTGCCCATCCTCTGACGGAGCAGCCATGTTAGTGTCTCAGCAGAACACAGAATAACTTTCTCTTTGTCCTGGGATATGCAAATGTTGACAATGAAAGAGCTGATTGATTAGCCATCTCTACTTGAGCTGCTAATGGCCAGCCTATGGATCTCACTAGCACTGTTAATGTCTCCATTGTGCCCATCCTCTGACGGAGCAGCCATGTCAGTGTCTCAGCAGAACACAGAATAACTTTCTCTTTGTCCTGGGATATGCAGATGTTGACAATGAAAGAGCTGATTGATTAGCCATCTCTACTTGAGCTGCTGATGGCCAGCCTATGGATCTTACCAGCACTGTTAATGTGCCCATCCTCTGACGGAGCAGCCATGTCAGTGTCTCAGCAGAACACAGAATAACTTTCTCTTTGTCCTGGGATATGCAGATGTTGACAATGAAAGAGCTGATTGATCAGTCATCTCTACTTGAGCTGCTGACAGCCAGCCTTTGGATCTCACTAGCACTGTTAATGTCATTAGAGAGAGAGGATGATCAGAGGCAGAGGAGCAGTACATCCACATCACTGCTAAGAACGCAGGAAATGGGAGTAAGAAAAAAAGACATAAATACCTTGATGGCTTGGCCATAGAGTTCTGGCCTGATTCGTGATACTGCTGATCGTGCACAATGACAAATCATTACCCTGTGCTTATCGACACAGCACATGATGATGATTATGGTTTTTTCCTGGGAAAGTAGGGCGCTGAACGATTTTATCACTGAAGAGGGGGTGGTGGGCCACACAAGTTTGGGAAACTCTGTTCTAGACCAATTAGAATTTGATGGATAATGTGGTCAACATCACGCCGTCGACCTTTACTTCCCAAGACATTACCTGGTACCATGGCTGTGTTAATAATGTAGAAATCAATAAAAGAGAAAATATGGATAACAATATCAAGGCAAAACAAATATACTTACAATTCTTGGGTAAGGCACTCTACCAAATGAATAGATTTCCCATAATAAAATACCAAAGCTCCACATGTCTGTTTTAGTATTAAAAGTCTGCAACAACAAACAAAAAAAGAGTTTACTGTAGCTTTTTCTGCCCCAGTCAATTTTATGAGATGAGATGTCTTAGGAGAGCTGCGGTGTGAGATGCATAACTGAGATAAGAAACAGAATAGGACAAGCAAAAACTGCATTTTATAAAATGAAAAACATCTTGTGCAATATATCCTTGTCATTGAGAGTTAGAAAAAGAATTCTTGCTTGCTACATACATCCAGTTTGGCTGTGAGTCCTGGACAATCGGTAGGTAGGCCAAACAATTTCTTGAGGCCTCAGAGATGTTGTTTTACAGAAGAATGCTTAGAATACTTTGGACAGCCAAAAAGAGCAACCAAGAGGTTTTGAAATAGGCGGGAGCCCGAAGACAACTTATCACAGACATCAAAAGGAGACAGTCATCATTTTTCGGCCATGTTATAAGAAGAGGGAAAATAGAACATGTTGTGACCACTGGAAAGATCTGTAGAAGGAGGGATAGAGGAAGACAATGAGAAAAGATTCTTGACAGTCTTGTTGCATGGCATGGAGGTGTGTCGGTACACAAACTGATATATGCTGCAGGAGATCGGGGATTATGGAGTGGCATGATTGCCCACGCCAGTTGTCAAGGCACCCGATGATGATGATGAATTATGCAAAGATATTTTGTTCAACAGACTAATTACAGGAAGACATTTTGTGTAATAAACTAAACTTACATTGTCTCTGAGAGCTTCTGGTGCAGTCCACTTGACTGGAAATTGTCTACTTGTTAAACTTAAGCCACAAAACTGAGCTAAGCCAAAATCTGACACCTGTGTTGTCAAGAAGAAATGTGATCAAACATTCTGAATTAGTAAAATACATATACAGGTCTCTTCATAAGCTAGTGGCACATCAATCACATAATGACACTTTTATATTTCTACATACCATTCGGCACTCTATAGATAACGTTGTCAACATTGTGCCATCGAACTTTACTTCCCAGGGAATTATCTGGTACCCATTTAAGCTGGGTCAACCTGGGAGCCAAGGTCAAATTTAAAAAAAATTTGACTGGATATGGAATGACACTCAACACCTAAAGGGATGGCAGCTGAGCAGTTAGCTACTTCACTACCACAGCTCCGAAAATGAACTACAGGGAAACAATGTTTACATAATATTTGACATACTAAAGTAAGAAGATACCAAAACACCACAATTGTGGTCATATTTTAGCACAGATAAGCGCTAACAAAAAGAAAACATAAAGTTAAGGTCTGCTTTAAATGGAATCACAATTTAAAAAAAAAACACAACAGTGAAAATTAAAGTCAAAAGCCTATAATTGGCAAACAACAAGAAACAAAAACAACATGGATCAATGGTAGAAGTAACCATAAAATGTATAAATTAAGGAAACAGAATGTAATCATGTGAAACAACAAAACTGAATTAAATTAAATATGTGGTACTCTCAGGAAATCTGATATAAAGGTGAAAAAAATAGGACAATAATTATAAATAAGAGAGAAGTATCTTAGATACCCAGTCCCCCGTGTGGGTTCCGGGGCCCCATTGTGAGGAAAACAAGAATTGACCCACTGCCTCCCCAAAAGCATGTCGTAAGAGTCGACTAATTGGGGAGCTTCCTTTCAAGTCGGAGTGCATCTGCCGGAGTGGCAAGGAACTGACAGTCTGTATTCAAGAGAATGAGATCTGTAAAACTGATGCACACGCAACACTCAGGTTCTGGAGCAGGACTGCAGTTCAGTAGTGGACGAGCAACCAGAAACTTCCGCCAAAGTGTACAGCTGGTGAACGCGAAGAAGAAGAAGAAGAAGCCCAGTTACTGACGTACCTTTGCGGTGCCCTTGCTGTTTACTAAAATATTCCTGGCTGCCAAATCTCGATGTATCAGACCCTTGTTGTTTAAATACTCCATGGCTGCACAGACATCCCTGAGAAGATAAGCAAGTTTTGTATTTCATAAGGTAAGGTAAAGGTGAGAGAATCAACTTCCTTGCACCAAGTTTTATCCCATATGACTCAGTCTTTATCTGAAGAACAGCTAGCTGCCTGCCGAGTGTCACACAGAGCATGACCTCCACATCTCCATAAAAAACTGCCCTTGTGAACTAAATGGCCCTGCCATTAAATGAACCCATGACCTTCAGAGCGAGAGGCAAATGGCTTGACCACTTTGCCACAGAGACCCCCTTGTTTGTATTTCATTAAACAGATGAAGTCTCAGTTTATTAAAACAGAATAGGCCATCTCTACAAATATTGACTATTCAGAGTTTTTTTTTTTTTGGTACATCAGTTTCTTTGATTGACCTGATGCAGGGTGGCATGTTATAAACAAATTTATATTTATAGCTTCAAGGGCAGCAACTGTGATGGTACCGAGGATGGACAATGAGCATATGAAAGAAGAAAGTCGAGAGGATTGACTTTGTTGCACTAAGTTTTATCCAATATGCTTAGTCTCTCTACTGAACACTTAGCTGTCTACCAAGAGAATCACACAAAGCATGAAGTCCATAGTTCCAGGGTCTTCAGTAAACACTGCATTTGTGAAATTAACAACATACTGCGTGGAACAAACATACGACCTTCACAGTGCTAGGCAAATGGGTAAACCACTTAGCCACAGAGACCCTCAGAGCATATAAAAAAACATATAGGACATGTCACATGTAGAAAGTGTTAAAGACTGACAGAGGTTGAGGGAGCAAGTATGGGGAAACCCGATTGCAGTGATGTTGAAATCTCGATTAAGACTAAGAGGTTGACGAATTAACATAATTCCTGTATCATTTAGCATCAGAAAATAAAGCAAACAAAATTTATTTTTGGCTATTTTCTCCAGGGATTACAGGAGTAATGGGAAATTGAAAAGCTGATAGATTGGCTGGTGCTGCCCCAGGGGGTGGTGACTAGATAAAGTGGCAGTTAGATGCAAGACAAGCTAGATGTGGTCAAAGGCATTTAGAAGTAAGTAAACAATGTGGAAGTATAAACAGATTCTTACAGTATGCAGCGGGAAGTGACCAGGAAATCTGGTCAACACTCTACACAAAGAAAAGGCAACAGATATATTTTCAAACTGCTACAGGTACCAATGGCCGGTGCAATGCTGACCACATTACCCACCTAGTGCCGATTGGTCTGTAAAAAATATGGGATGCTCTTCCCATATACCCGATGCACCTAAGGCATAAAAAGAGATCTACACTTTTATTTTTTAACAGGTACGAATAAACGGGTTCTAAGAATATCATGGGTATAGAAGAGAACAAATGCATCTATAATTCAAGAACTGAATACTGAAGAAGGTTGGCTATTAGAGACAATAAAACTTGAATATTTTGGTCACTTGAAACGTCACAAATGTTTAGAAAGAACAGTAATGGAGGGGTATATGCCCGGGAAGAGAGAAAGAGGAAGGCCAAAGAGAAGATGAGTGGAGGATGTGGCGGAAGATCTCCAGATGGGTGTATCGGACACAGGACATCTTGCTTGTGAGTGAGAAGTTTTCCGGAGGGATGTTATGGGAGCAAGGTTTTGCAAAGGACATGCTGCTGACTGACTGGTACCAATGGGATTGAAATTCTTCCCTGACTGCTGAAAATGAAGATGGCATGGATATGGGATATACCAAGTATATGAGAAGTACTATCACTGAACGTAATGATGTTAATCAAGTTTATGTGAAGTTCTATCAGTGTGAAAAAAATGATGCTGACCAAAATAATGTGAAGTTCTATCAGTGTACATTATGGTACTGTCTTAGTATATGTGAAGTTCTCATCAATGAACATCATGGCACTGATCTATTGTGTGTGAAGTTCTATCACTGAACATAGTGTTGTTGACCAAGTATATGTGAAGTTCTGACATTGAACATCATGGCATTTACCTAATATATGTGAAATTCTATCAGTGAATCTCTGGCACTGACCTAGTAGATGTGAAGTTCTATCAATGAACTTCATGGCATTGACTTAGTATGTGTAAAGATCTATCAACGAACATCATGGCATTGACCTAGTATAAGAGAAGTTCTATCAATAATCATCATGCCATTCACTTAGTATATGTGAAGTCTTATCACTTAGTATATGTGAAGTTCTATCTCTGAACATTATGACACTGACATTGTATATCTGAAGTTATTTCAATTCAAACCTGAAGGCAGTACCTGTGTTAGAGCCACCTCTTTTTAACTTACCCTTTCTTCTCCTGTGTTCACCCTTGTTGTTAAATGATAAATTATGAATCAACATCACAGCTCTCGGGACGCCTCCATAAGCACTCCGTCCCCATCTTCAGCAGCAAGCTTCTTCTTCATCTTCTCTTCCACCTCATCAAAGTGTTGGAGGGAGATGTAATGTTCGTTGATGAGCTCTGTCAAGAGCACTCTTAAGACTGATGTTCATTTCTGTAAGACTGTTCTTAATACCATCACTCCATATGTTCCGAGGTCTTCCACTCACTCTTAACCCGTTGTAACGTTTTAGTGTGGCTCGTTGTGGCAGATAGTACCAGTGCATTCTTGTTAGGTGTCCAAACCACTTCATTTGTTGTTCTTTGGTGACCTGTAAGACTTTATTCCTAGCATTCATCTGATTTCATATTCTGTCTTTCCTTGAAACTCCTGCAGCTCTTCTAAGGCATTTCATCTCTGTTGTCACAATTTTATGTTCATTAGAGCATGTCAGTGTCCATGGATGGCATTGATAGCATAGTGTTAGCCAAAATATCGATCTGATAAGATTCACTTTAGTACTCCGAGGTATCTGCAAGCAAGCAAAGAGTTCAAATCCAATAGTACCAGTAACTGTCTGTATATCCGTCTCGCCCTTCCCTTGAGTATCGGCCAGATCCCATGGTAGCGCCATTCTCCTCAGACCATAATGATCTATTTGTGCCTCCTCACTGGTCACTCGCTCCTAAAGGGCCTCACAACATCTAGCTTGTCATACATCAATTTACTATCAAGTGTTATCCCTTAAAAAGGAAGTTTGCACATTGTGTTGTGGTTTATAGCTATGCCGTGATATCTGCACTATTTAAAAATACATTTTATGTAAGCAAGCCCCTCATTAGTTCTCCTTTATGACATGTTTATTTTAAGGATAGTGGGTCTATTTTTCCCCTCCTCTTCAATGAGATTTTGGAGAGTGGGCAGAATGGGGAGTTTTGGCTGACTATTTGGGTATAAAGTTGAGCTAAAGTTATTTCATTACTAGACATTCCTATATTCAAGATTTTGCAAAGTACGTCTGAAAGGTTGGCTTTCGATACTAGTAGATTTAAAGAAACAAATTAACTTACTAGCTTTATGTATACTCACGAAGCAAAATGTATTTGATCGCTGGCTGTGATAGCTGAACGTCCTCTAGTCTGTAGGTATTCCAGAAGATTTCCTTTCTCCATGAACTCTGTAACTAGGATAATTGTGCCTTCAGTAATGCCTAATATTTGAACCACATTGTGATGGTTCAACGAGCTGAAAATGTAAGCAGAGCTTACAGATGTATATAATGTCATTGTAACAAAATGAAACACACATTTTGTGCACTATATAGTTTTTATTTTAAAGAACTGTCTGTGTTTTCCTAAGCATGCTAAATGAATTAGATTAAATACTCAGTTTGTCATTTGATTAGCCCAGCTTAATTTTTGTGTATTAAATTATTGCAGTGCATGTCTGCTGATGACCAGTTAATGTTTCACTTCTATCCTAAAAAAAAATATTTAAAATAAAATTAAGGAGTTTTAACAATGAAACCATGTGATTAGTGATTAGAAAGGATTATCATCACAGCACTCCGGACAGATTCATATGTGCTCTGATCTCCTCTTCAAAAGCTTCACAAGTGTAAAACAACTGATGACGCCTGTTCTGTGTTGGTTAATGAAACGTCTTGTCACCTTAGTGAAATGTTCATTTCTTGCATCTCCAGGCTGCACCCCCATGTCCATCCGTCTAGATACGGATACAGAGTCATGTCCTTTGGCATGCTCCTCAGTACGGTAAGTGCAGCGCATGGCATTGATAACATCACTTCTGTCCATACTGGACCAGCCATAGCAACTGCAGTGTCAGTCTGCACGCTCGTTTCATACATGAAACCCTGTATCCAGATCAACATTGTGACATCAAAGATCCCCACTTCGAAAGTACTAACCATGTCATCCCAAGAAACCACAAAACCAGCATTGCCTGCTTGGACCAATTTCCTGTAAATGTCACTTTACCAACATTTCTAGAGTTATGGTTACAAGACATACAGTTAACCCTATAGGTTGTGTTCACCCCTGCTTAGCCCTTAGGTTTATATCACAACATCTAGTTTGAGAATGGAGATGGACACATTCTCTGCTACCTTCTACTGACTTGAGAATAAACACATATGCTGTGACTGTAACTGAGCATGTTGAGAAAGATAGAGACAGGCATGCTCCATGCAGAGTGGCAAGCATCACTTCAGATGTCATGGGTAGTTAGCATCCTTTGGATATTTTCTACAAGCAACAGAGTTTAGAAAAAAGCAACTGCTCAGTGACCACACTTCTAGAACTGACACTTCATCTTCTTTTTCTGTGTTCACTCCTAACAGAGAAACTGGCATGCTGTGTTGTGGTTTACAGCTAGTCTGTGACATCTGCACCTTTTAGCCCAACACATCTGATTTCATCAAATCCTGAATTAGTCGCTTTTAATACATGTTTGTTAAGGAGGAGTGGGTCTATTCATTAAAATAAATGCAATATTTTCAAAGTTAACCCTGTATTGATAGCTGATAACATTTAATGGCTTAATACACTTACGTCATAACAGCTGCTTCCAGTAAGAAGGCCTGTTCACCTCTTTCTTTATCTTTTAGCTGTTTGGCTGCAACTTTCTGATCATTATACACACCTTCGTAAACATCTAAAATAAACACAGAAGAAATAAGAAAAATGAAGGACCCTTTTCCATGCATTTAGCCGAACTGGGCATATGGGGCTAGACATATATTTTATAGACCAATCGGCACTTAGTGACTGACGTGGTCAACATAATGCCGGCTGCCTTTATTTCCCAGGACTTGCACCTGTACCCACTCAAGGCTGGGTTGACCTGAGAGCCAAAGTCATTTTTGAAAAAGTATGGTTCTGTCGGGACTCGAACCCACGACCTTCTGATCTGCAGGCCACTACATAAGGGTGGCTCCCACATAAGAAATAGCCTCAAATAAAATAACATTACTGTGAACTGTTGTTGCTGGCATTTTATCGTTTTGCCAGATGAATAGAGTTATTTTGTGCTGGGGGAGACTTGGAAATCACGGCCTACCATGATGTTGAATGTGACAAGCAAAACCTGCTCATGCTATGAAAAGTCTTCGGCACAGCATGGGATTTCAGGAGCATTGTTGCCAATGCAAATATTTTGTAAACGAGAGATCACTTCTACTGATGATTGGTAGACTCCTGTTGTACATGCTCCCCTGTGGAGTTTCTTCTTATCTTATTGACGTTTTTCTTCTTAGACACTCAGCTTTTAACCTGTCCAAGGCATCCTGTTTCCTATTGGGGGGAGGGGGGGTCTGGGTGGTCTCGAGGCATGGCGTCTGCCTCGAGTGCTGGAGGTCTGGGCCTGAAGCCCTGGTGAAGGTTTTTTTTCACAAGGACTTCTAGTAATTTTCCTTGGTCTATGGGTAGTAAGATCAGACGCCCGTGTGTACTGTTGTGCACGTAAAAAATACATTGGCAGTTAGAAAATCAAAAGTGTAGCCTACAGGCGCTGCCCTGGCAAAATTTGGAGTCAAAAATCTATCCAAAGTATTTCAGAATCCTCGCTGGTGCCACAGAGTTTGTGCACTGTACTGAGATTCTTCGGACTCAGACTTGAGTTAGAAGTAGAACAGAGCACTTATGGGTTACCACCCCTGTGCCATGATGTCAATCCGTTGTTCAAACCTTAAACCTTATCCTGTTCCTTGACTCTGTCTCACTTCTTAAAGATCAAGATATGAGACAAGCAGATATCATCATCATGTGCCCTGTCGGTAAGCATGTTCTGCCATTTTATAATATAATATCCAAGAATCATGGATCAGGTCTGTACTCATGTCTCGCCTCATCCATAAGGCCAAGCCATCCAGATATTTACTTCTTTGCTTTTCCATTATTCTTTGACCCTCAATGTTGTCCATTGCAACAAGCTCTTCAGTCCCTCCCTTCTCATAATATGTTCGAAAAACAAAAACAGTCAGTTTCTAATTTCTCTAATCAGTTTTCATGAAGAGGGCTGCCTGGTTTGCTTTTCTATCATTCCAAAATAGGTCAGAAGAGCAAGAAGCACAACCCTATAGCTCTCTTAACGAGCAAGAAGCACAACCTTATATCTCGCATAACAGCTGAAGGGGTAAAAGAGGAAAAGAAGAAGAAGCAGAAGAAAAGGAAACAATAATGTCAGACAACCATATGAAATGTAGAGCAGCTGATATGGTAAATTTTTTGGTAAAGAAAGTGGTTTAAACAGTGTCAGATATTATAGTATTTCTTTCAACACAGTATAATCTTAAATAATAGCAATCTACCTTAAGGTCAGCAGGAAATGTTAATGCCTATGCTTAACTGTTAAAATTACAATATGTTTTATGTTTTGAAAACATTTTTCAAATTTATATCTTCATTTGCTAACCTCCAAAGTTTCCTTCCCCAATAAGTACTCCTAGTTCCAAGTCATGAAGACTTATAAGCCAACCTCCATGCCTGAAGTCATGCATACTGACTGTGCCAAACTTGCCACCTTGTTTTGTAACTGGTATTTTTAGACTTGATACCAAACCATCAGCATCATTTGTATAGTGCTGTGTAAAAGACAGAAAAAAAGGATTATTTCTAAAGCTGTGTCTTACCTCAAGGACACACACACACAATAAAAAGAACAAAGACTGCAATGGCTGGGGCATAGAGAAGAATAAGCGAAAACCGGACATAAAAATGTAAACAAAAGAGCTGATTGGGAAGAGACCATGAGACAAATGAAGAAGGTAAATGGCTTTTTTTTTCACAAGTGTGTTTTTTGGGGCCCATAAAGAAGCAAAATATCATCAGCATCCTTTCCCATATGGGTTCCAGGGCCCCACTGTGGGGAAAACAAGAACAGACCCACTTCCTCCCCAACAAGCATGTTGTAGGAGATGACTAATTGCGAGCATCCTTCAAAGTTGAAGTACATCTGCATGAGAGGCAAGGAACAAACAGTATACAAATAAACCAGATCTGTAAAACAGATGTACATGCAACACTCAGGTTCTGGAACACGACTGAAGTCCAGAATTGGATGAACAGCCAGAACTTTCTGCTGAAGTTTACAACTGGTGAATGCAAAGAAGATAAGCATCATTCTGGTGTGCCGTTATACATCACACAGGGTTCACAATCTAGTCTACCCTGTGCAGTTATTCCAACATCATGGATGGAATCCAGTCCAGCACTTTTGGCATCTCTTAGCAACATTTCTCTTAAGGTTTTTGCTGGATTTCATTGTCTTCTCAGTTCATCTGTTTCCCATTTAAGTGTGGCTTTGGGGATTCTCTGCTCACTTCTCCTTATGAGGTGCCCAGTATATTGCCACCTTCTTTGTCTTACAACTGTTGATTCAAGTGGTTGTTCAGACATTTCTTTATTTCTTTGCCTTTCATTCCCCCCTTAATGCAAAGAATGTAACACTAATCTACCATTTATTTAAGGCAACTAAACAGGCCCACACAGGACTGACTACATTCATTTGCAGAAGAGACTAATTTCACAATTCAAACAATAAAGAACAAGTCTAAAAAGGGCTTGGGATATATTGGTTGGGGGTCTGTGCTCTATTGTGAGTGAAAGACAAAGAAGAAGATTGTCTATGTCAGTGTTTCAAAAACTTTTCTTAGTCACAGCGCCTTTTTTTTCAATTAAAATTTCACCACAGCACCCTAACCTGAGTAAAAGTATGACTATTAATGTGTAAGAGATTAAAAAAATAAAAATAAAACTTGTGTATCTTCGAATATTTCGCTGTGTCCCTGTGAAGAGGTCACTGCTCCACTGGGTACCACAGTTTGGGAATCACTGGTTTATGTGGTTTCTTGCATGGTTGATCTATGCCTTGATAGCATGCTTGTCTCTGTGGTTCTTTTAGCATTTCACTTTCAGATGTATTTTTCAAATATTTGCAGTTTTTAAAGGAATCACATGTCTGAATCAATAAAGTTAGCTTCATATTCTTTACAGAACTTTGCAGAACCAACTCCAGAATTTGTTGGCTGTTGTGGTTTTTCTAGGCAAATTTTACATTCAGTAGTCTGCCAGTACTTTCTGAAGAATTAATAAATTTTTAAAAGGAATAAATATGCAAATATAGAGACCAATATTAAAGACTTCACAAAATCATTATTAATACACAAATCTATGCTCTACTGTGACTTAAAGACAAAGAAGAAGACTGTCTTTGTGGTTTCTTGCATGGTTGGTCTATGCCTTGGTAGCATGCCTGTTTCTGTGGTTCATTCAGCATTTTACTTTAAGGTGTATTTTTCACATCTATGCCGTTTTTTAAGGAATCACATTGCTGAATTAATAAAGCTTTACAATAAACAAATACACAAATATTCAGACTGACATTAAAGACAGTTATTGATACCTGAACAAGCTCTTCCAAGTTTTTAAAGAACACCTCATTATCTATTGATAGCTGGTTGTTTGAATAGGAAATGTGGTAATGTTCCACTTTGTTGCTGAAACACACGCACAATGTATAATCACCAACATAAACTTTACTATCTCGAACAAGATACAAGCCATCCTTTCTTGAGCTCAGCAGTTGCTCTGCCTCCATTCGGGAGATCTTGCCATGGTACCATCTAAGAAGAAATTAAGTAGATAAAACTGAAATTAGCTGTTACGTAAAAACACACAAATGTTTACAAATAATACTAATGAATACTAAGGATCCGGTCAAAATTTATGACAGGCACAGTCACTGCTGTTTTTTCCATCGTGGCAATGCTTTGTTCTGTCAGACGGTGGCCATTGCAGTTTTCTTTATTTGTAGACTGAAAGAATACAGCTTTTTAGTTTTGTCACCCAGTTACAGAGCTGACTGCATGGTTTGACATCGTGAGCTGCAGATTTCATTTGGAATTTATTTTGACTGTGATCAATATGGTGTTGTGAACTGTGGATCCAGAAAATGGCGAGTGGCCTGTTGCCACAGAACTGGTCATGCCTTATGTGATTAAAAATTAATCACGTGTGCAACTGCTGATCTGTAACTGCTGCTTCTGTCTATGACGAACTGTGAATGATATATTATTATGTTTGTACTTATGATGGTTGTCTTATGCTTTAAATGTGTGTGTATGCTAGTGGATGCTGAGACTGCAGTCTGTGTCAATATGTCCACAAGGGACAGTGATGGACATTCTGTGTTATCTGTTGGTAGAGGAGACTATGGGATGACCTGTCTGCTATGAAGCTTAAACTAATATTACCAGATTACCAATAAGGTTCAAGAGTTTCCAAACAAATGGCACATTTTAATATTAACCACTCAGTAATCATATGATCTGCAACTGTGTGTATCAGTTCGTGTGCTCACCTGTGTGTCTTCCTCTGTCTCTCTTTCCAGAGATCACAGCATGTTCTAGTTCCCTATTCTCACAACCTGAGCAAACAATTATGACTCTCTCTCTTTCTGATGTTTATGATAAATTGTCTTCGAGTACTCGCCTCTTTCAAAACATTTGGGTTGCTCTTCTTAGCTGTCTGAGAAATTCTAAGGATTCTTCTGTAAAACCACATCTTGAGGCTTCAGATATTATTTGGCTTGTTTATTAAATGTCCAGGATTCATAGCTGTTTGCTAAAACTGGCTCTATATATCATCATTCTTTTCCCAACCTCCAATGATATGAATTTATTGCGCAAACAATTCTTTATTTTATACAAGGCAGTTGTGGTCTGTCATATCCATGTGCTTAGATACTTAAATTTCTTTTATCCTAAAATAACTCCTTTGACTTGAATAATACATTTAGTCACTATTCCTTTCATGGAAATTATCATTACTTATGTCTTCCCATTATTCAGACTGATACCCATTTTATTGCTTGCTACCACCACCGTAGCTAACAATGCCTGTAGTTCTTTCTGACTTGTAGCTATTAAGAGGGTGTCATCAGCATAATGCAGGTTGTTTATGCTATGACCACCAACCACAACTCCTGGCATATCCATGATAGATCTCATCATATATTCACTGTATAATGAAAACAAATCAGGTGATAGTACACATCCTTGTCGTACTTCCCTCTTTATACTTGGAAATGTTTCCAAATGGTCATTAATTCTTACAACTGCTTATTGCAGGTCACATATTTATTATTGTTGTTCTTTAATGAATTGTATGGTTGGCTGCCAGGGTAATCTTTTTTCAATTTCTTCATTTTTAATTTTACCTTTCCTTGTTACACCAGCAGCTCCTCTAAGAATCTCACCACTGTTGTGAGTCTGAGCAGTCATGGGAGTGATCATATGCCATGCTAAGTCTTGACTTCTAAAGCTAGCAAATTTAGAGCTGTGAGAATGTGCAAGACTTTTAAGTATGAGAGGGACAGTACCCTTCTTGGACGCCTTCAACAGAAGGTATACAGCAGAACCACCATCTCTGCTTTTGTGCAACCTCCATGGTGGACCCAAGAAGTAGAACAGGCAAAGAGAGCAAAGTGAGCAGCAGTTAAGAATTTACAGAAAGTGCGAAAGGCACCTTACAGGTTACAAGAAGATGTAGAGAGGCTAGAAAGAGTTAAAAAAGAAAAGCTGGAAGATTTCAAGCGCTGTGCAGCAGGTGCAAAGAAGGCTAAATGGAAACATTTTATGAGCAAAATTGGAGGGGATAGATCACTGGGTAGGTTTTGGAGACTTCACAGATAGATGCAAAGGAAGGATCGGCCTATTACAACAGGCATTATATACAATGATAATGATATACCAATGACAACAGACACAGAGAAAGGGGAAGCATTGTTAAAGAGATTTATAGCCCAAACTAATCATAATGATAGGGAGCTTAGAAATTTAGTTAGAAATAATCTGTTTAATACAATAAATGATAAGTATTTTGAGGATATTATTAAGGAGGAGAATATAAACCATGTATTGCAAAAAGCAAAGGACACTGCGCCTGGGCTAGACGGAGTCAGGTATGCCCACTTGAAGAGCATGAGTGATGAAGACTTGAGAGAGATGGCTTTTTACTTCAACCAGAGCATCAGAACAGTTCATTACCCCAGGAATGGGTACACAGTTACCTAATTCCACTTCCAAAACCAAGCAAAGATCATTCCAAACTCAGCAGTTTCAGAATTATCACCCAACAAAAGGTACAAGGCAAGGTGCTAGAGAAGATTATTGCTTTTAAACTACAAAAGTTTTTGGAAAGGGAAGAGCTCCTGCCAAAAGGTTTGGGTAGTTACCGGCCTCGGAAAGATACCTGGTCCAATGCAGCTACTTTTGCTTTTGATGTTTATGAGGGGTTCCAGAACAGACATGAGACGGATGTGGCAGCACAAGATCTTGAGGATGCCTACAATAGAGTCAAATATGATTTTTTGATTTCTGCACTCATGGAAAAGGGAGTTTGTCCCTGGTTTGTGAACTGGATAGCAGCTGTCCTGCATTCACGTATGGTAGCCCTTCACCTGGGTACATGGACCTCAGAACAATGTAATATCGCCCCTGGGCTCTGCAATTTTACCAGTGCTCTTTAATGTGTATACAAGCAAGATTGTAGAACTTGAATCCCCAGGTGTTGGAAGAATATTGACATTTGCCGATGATGTTCTTGCATATAGGCAGGGAGAGATGGGCGACGGATAGCTTATCAGCTACAAGCAACTGTGGACTGGTGACTGACTGGTGTGCAGAAATGGGTGCTGTCATTAACTCAGAAAAGGCAGCTGTTTTGTGGTGTTCTCTGGACAATAGAATTGTAAAAGCTGGTGTTCCAAACCTCACAGTTCATAACAGTAACATCAAAAGAAAAAGCAAACTGAGATACTTGGGTATCATTTTCGATAGAAGCCTGTCCTTCAGGGATCATGTGGATGCAGTTGCAGTGAAATGCCAAAAAGGACTCCATGCTCTCAAGATTATGGCAGCAATGGACATGGAACAAAGAATTTTGTTCACAATGTTCCAGCATGTGATCCTGTCGGTGATAGATTATGGACTTGGCATGCTTACCACTTCACAGAGTCAGCTGATGAAACTTGAACGCATACAGAATGAAGCCATGCAAGTGATTCTGGGATGTACAAGAGAAACCCTGGTAGTATGTATGTGATATATACTTGCACTGCCTACTATTGCAGATAGGCTTAAAGTTCTGCAAGCAAAGTCACATCTCAGAGTAGCTGCGGAAAAGAGGCACCTCCTGCATGAAGCCCTGGATAGAGCTGAGGGTCACAGACTGAAAAAAGGAAAGTCTTGGATGGCGCAAGCTGAAGACACAATTGGACATGTGTGCAGACTTGATAAATTTAGACGAGGAGAGGCGTGGGTCAAAGTGTCCGATCATGTTTCAGACTTGTGTAGGGTTCTAATCACTTTGGGACATGAGTGCAGGGACTGGCCAACTGGTGCTGCAGAATCAGAAGTTCAACAATGATTGATGACAATTCCCGCCCAAGTGATGTGAATGTATATACAGATGGCTCTGTGGTGAGGGGCAGACGAAGTGCATGGGGGTTCACAGCGAAGGCGAATGGATGTCGCTTGGCGCAACAAAGCCTGGCATATGATATCACAATGTCTAGTTTGAGAATAGAGGTGGAGGCAGTCAATGCTGCCTTTCGTTGGCTTGAGAATCAGCTGCACACACATGTCGTCATTGTAACTGACTCACAGAGCATGCTGAGAAAGATGGAGACAGGCATGCTCTGTGCAGAGTGGCAAGCATCACTTCAGAGTTCCCGGGTTGTTAGCATCCTTTGGATATTTTCTCCAGTATGTTTGGAAATGAGCAGGCAGATAGACTGGCCGGTTCTGCACCACTTGGTGGTGAACTGATTTATGACAAGCTGAATGTTGTGAGGGCCCTTTGGGAGCGAGTGAACAGTGCTGAGGAACAGTTAGATCATTTAGGTATGAGGAGAATGGCACTGCGAGGAGTTACAAGGGGATCTGGCCGACGCTCGACACTCAGGGGAGGGGCAAAATGGATATACAATCAGACTGTTACTGGTACCATCAGAATTTTAACTCTTCGATTGCTGCTGAAGATGGGGACGGAGCACTTATGGGAGTGCCCCAAGTGCTGTGATGTTGTTTCTTAATTCAACATTCAAGATGAGTATTGGCAGAACTGGTTACATTTTCCATTCCAAACAAACTATGGTTGCCTTTCATTCATGCTTGGTGACCTTTCAGACGTGCTAGTCTATGTTACTACGTTGTCAGGCTGTGTTCTCTTCGCGAAGAGCTTTCTATTTTTTGTGGCGAGCTACATGTTGTGATTTACTAGTTGTTGTGAGCGGCGCCAACACTGTGTATATTATGGCTTTTATCGGACTTCAAGTAGGGCATGAAATTACTTTAAATGTCAGCGTTGAAGAGCAACAAGGAGCAGCGTTGCTTTTCTGCATAAAGACGGCTTTTTAGCGTGCACGGAAAATGTTAACAATTCTGAAACCACGGGACATAGGCTGTGCTCTCTCATGGAACGTAGGCTGAGGCTGTGGGGTTAGAGTTAGGGCCAGTTATAGATGTTGTGGGGTCGATAAAAGCAGTCAGATCGTGTAATATAGAACACAGGATGTCACAGGTAAAAGCCTCGAAGAAAATAGAATGTGACACAGGACATAGGCTGCATTCTCTCGTGGGACGTAGGCTGATGCTGTGGGGTAGGGGGGTTGGGGTTAGGGGCAGTTCTAGGTGTAAAAGCGGACACATCATGTACATGTGACGTTGCCATTGGGAGCATCAAAGACAATCCTATGTGACACCCCTGTAACATCAACTTCAAAGAATTACCCTAATCAGTAGACTCCTATAGCAAGCTTGTTGGAGAGGCAGTGGGTCTATTCTTGCTTTCCCCACAATGGGGTCCCGGAACTCACGTGGGGAAGCATGCTATGTTGTTTATATGTTCATGGTGGAGGTAGCAAATGTTATTTTCATTGTGTTTTTTTAAAATGCCAGATTGGCTACTCCCAATGCAAAATTTTAATAGAGAATACAAAATAAAATACAAAAAATAATAAGTACTCACGGCATTGCATACAAAGTGACAGGATGTTTCATTTTGATACTACAGAACCAGATTTGTATAAATGTTGGACTTTAAACCAATTCTGGTAACAACAACAAAAATGGTGTTAACAAACAAATGCATTTAATGCCATCATTAACACTTTTTAACAGAACAATTAGAAATATATCATGGGGCTTTTGTTGTATATCAATGTTGCTTAATTTAAGAATATCAACAGGAAAGGTAGAAAAGAGTAGGCAAGTAGTCTTGTATGAAAATATACTGGGTCCGGATACAGAGGCCGAGGAAAATAAAGGAAGGGGTAGATAGAAAGATTAAGAAAGCCCAGCTGGAAAGAATGAGGGGAAAGAATGAGGTAAAAGCAATGCTAATTTTTTTTTTAAATATATGACGACAGAGTGGTCTGCTTTAGAGTGTTCAGTATTTGATTTTTTTTAAAGGTGTCGTTTTCAGTATACTGCTGTAACAGACACTCTATGGTGAGTACTGAAACACTCTATAGTGTGTACCAGCACCTTTTTCCTAGAATAAAAGCCCTATTCATTTTAATCATAACAATATTTTGTTACTGCAATAATAATAACTTCTCATTTATAACCTGGATATAGTTTTTGTAACACCAATATTACTGTTGGCATTGGATGATGTTGATGCTTGTTCATTGGTGGCTTAACTCTGAAGACAGAAAGCCACTTAAGTGGCTTTTGAATCCATCACATTCAAAAGGAAAGCCATTTAAGTGGTGCATCACAGAGACACTCTAATATTGTTTCATTTGCTGGAAAAACAAATTTGTATAAACATGTTTTGAAAAGCTAAAATTAGCGAGACAAAGTCCTTTTGTTTTTAAAGTTTGGCAGGCTGTTTGCATCACTTTCTAATTTGTTTTAGATTAATTACATGTGATACAATTTATATGTGTTTTTCTATACCAAATGATAAGGGAAAAGGTCTAGAACTGTTCATTTTACTCTGTCGTTGATGAATCTCAACCAGATAGTGACAACTGTCTTGATATTATGACTAATAATGTAAATCACAAACCTATTGGTGATAATATAAATGAGGATGACGTTGAAAAAAATATTTCAATCAGATCATCTGTTGTGAAATCCGACATGTCATATCAAAATGGTCACAACATCTAAAGTATTTAAATTAACTGTTTCAAATAAAGACTAGCTGATACATAATTGAACAGAGAAGGCATGTTCATTCTTAGAACTGGATAGCAGTGTTGCTGAACAAGTAAACATTAAGGTTAGCAGAACTTGTTTTAAAATTTTTTTTTTTAAAAATAATCTTTATATGTTTCTAACATCCTTGTGCGTTGTGTGTTTTTAATAACATTTGTATGTTAAACTGACACTTAAATAGTTTAGATTTATTCTGCACTCATTTCTCTTTAACTTGATATATTATACATCTCTATACCGCCAACACTTTTCATCAGGAAGGTTTTAGCTTTGTCGTGTTTCAGTACACAAATTCTGCTCAAAATCAATGCTGTCCAAACCCCAGAAAAAAATTTGGTTCTGAAAGAGTTAAGGTATTACTTTTATTTACTTGACATTGTATAGATTGTGTATTAATTCTAAAAGATTGTGGCAATAGACTGTTCAAGTTCAAGCCTACTTTTTCAAAAATTGTGAAACTACATTTAAAAAATATAATTTTTATTAATTACTTATAGTGATCAAATTAAAAAGTTTTTCCAAAAGGCTAAAAAATATTATATTTATTATTATTATAAATGTATTCAAACTTCTTTCTTCTTCTTGGCGTTCACCGGCTGTAAACTCAGGCGAAAAGTTCTGGTTGTTTGTCCACTTCTGGACTGCAGTTCTGTTCCAGAACCTGAGTGTTGCGTGTGCATCCGTGTGACAGATCTGTATGCAGACTGTTGGTTCCTTGCCTCTAAGGCAGATACACTCTTGACTTTAAAGGAAGCTCCCAATTAGTCGACTCTTACGACATGCTTTTGGGCAGGCAGTGGGTCTATTCTTGTTTTTCCCATAGTTGGGCCCCGGAACCCACACGGGGGTATTCAAACTGAGTTTAAACTTTAGCTTGTCACTTAAATCTTCTCATTCATTTACTTACTATTAATTAAGTCTTAAAAACTCCAACGAAAGTTATTAAAAAGACTTAGTAAACATTTCACTAGAGACAACATTGCAGAAATAGATAATTTATTTCAAGCGAACGAAAGAAGAAGATTAAAGTATAATTTAATAATATTAATAATTTTGTATAAGGCTCATTTAAGTAAGTTAACCATTCTAATTCTTGACGACGATTCGATTCACCATCCATCATTTGATTATTATCAATATTATTTTATCATCATAAATAATCTAATCACATCAATTACCGAAATATTCATTTTAATTTTCTTTGATTATGGCTTATCAGATATTAATTGCCCACAAACAAAAACCAACAATATCTAACACCACACTTATTAAATGTCCTGTGGTTACTATAACTGACTTCATATAGACGTCATTTCTCCTGTAGTAGGAAGAAAATTGCCATGTTATTTCTGTACACACAACACAACCCAACAGGAAGTATAAAGTATACAAGTTGTACAGCAGGTGCCTGCCCCTGTCGTAAAAAGACTTTGTGTATTTTAGCAACCCAACTTAATTTTTTTTTTTAAACTGCTTTACCACTGAACTGACCAAAAAAAAAAAAACGTGTAGTAGTAGTAGTAGTAGTAGTAGTAGTAGTAGTAGTAGTAGTAGTAGTAGTAGTAGTAGTAGTAGTAGTAGTAGTAGTGGTAGTAGTGATAGTAGTAGTAGTAGTAGTCATAGGCGCCAGAATTTATAAGTCTCATATTCCTTGCCCGCCCCCATTCCATTCCCCAAACCCAAAATGCCATGTTATTTCTTGTCGTTTCTTGTTCGCTCGTCCGTCCATCACAAGAAAAGATATTAAACCGAACGAAAAGTATATTAGCAAGCTTCACAATATAACAAATACAAACAAAACGTGAACGTTGCGGCTATGGAGTCTTTATCAGCACATACAAATCAAACAATACTACACAGACACACAAAATCACTTAGCTGGTATCTAGCCGGGTCGATGGTATCTCAGCAGACTGTCTCCAAGTGACGAGGATCACTCTTTCTTTCATCCGTCATGAAACTACAGTCAAATGTTTATGAGTCCGGAGGTGACTTATAAGTCCAATACGTGCCCTGATAAATCTAGGACAATGAGGGCAAGGCACAGTGAGATAAAATGTACGAATAAGGGACTAGCACGATGAGTTGGATTAAAGTGAGGCGGAGTTGCGCAATTTCGTCGACCTCACTCTCTCGTCTGTATCCATCTGAATCCAGTGGCAGGACAAGTCGAGACGGTTGGAGATGAAGTCAGGTACAGTGGATGACCAGGGTGTTCTACGTGTCTCACTGTGTTCTTTGCGCTCCACTGCGTGTTGCTGGTACCCGCCATTGGGTCCGTTAAACCAAGTATTGGCGTCATCCACACATTCAGCCGAGTCTAGTCTTTGCTTGCTAGGATTGGCAGATCCTAACTCACTGAAGGCTATTAGACCATTCGGCTACCCTCACCTGGTTTTGCCGGCCTGTCAAAGCCGTTGTCGGGCGGTGGCCCCTGCCGCAAGCTGGCTGTTGCGTGGAGCCATAGGTGAGAGCTGGATGCCAGGTTTGGGCCAAAGGCAGGTAAGCTGTCCTGAAAAGGACATGACAAGCCCCCAACACCAGAGATACTCCAATACCTGGCCACCGACCCCCCGCCCCCCCCCCCTCACTCCGTACCCCACAACACAACCGAACAGGAAGTATAAAGTTTTCTTTTTATAGCAGGCACTTGCCCATGTCGTAAAACGCACGAGTGTACATTAAAGCCATTACTGCCCTATCACAGTACTGACAAAAAAGGCCATGCATAGTAGTAGTAGTACTAGTAGTAGCAGCAGCAGCAGTAGTTGTAGTAGTAGTAGTAGTAGTAGTAGTAGTAGTAGTAGCAGCAGCAGCAGCAGCAGCAGCAGCAGCAGTAGTAGTAGTAGTAGTAGTAGTAGTAGTAGTAGCAGCAGCAGCAGCAGTAGCAGCAGCAGCAGCAGTAGTAGTAGTAGTAGTAGTAGTAGTAGTAGTAGTAGTAGTAATATTAGTAGTATCATAGGCGCCGGAACCTAGGGAGCTCAGGTCCATCGAGGCGCCTCTCCCCTTTCAAATTTTTGTAGGGCAGGATAAACGCCCCGCTCCCCATAATTATAGAAAGCTGTTTTTAATGCGACTTTCAAGCATCACTCCAGCTACTACACGCCACTTCGGCATTCCCTAATTACCGGTATATTGTCCTGTCAGAGTTCATCTTATCTTAAAATAAAAGTTATTCAGCAAGACTAAAAACAACAGTAGTTTACCCGAGAAAGGTTGTCTGGGGTGCTCTGAGTAAAAACATGGGAATTTGTTCACATAGGAATCAGAACTTGAGGGCTCTGGTCCCACTGTTAACAAATGAGAGCCCTAGTAATAACGTGAAATTAAAACGACTTTCAGAGATATTTTATATGCATGGCTTACCCGGGTGACTTCCTGAGCCACATTGGGGTTGGTGGAAAAAAAAAGGGGGGGGGGGGTAGACCCAGTGCATCCCTAACAAGCAAGTCGTATAAGATAACTAATTGGGGGTTTCCTTCGTATCAGAGTTCATCTGCCTACGAGGCAAGAAACCAATAGTCTGCATACAAATAAGCCAGCCATATAAAACGGGTGTGCACGTAAAACTCAAGTCCAGAAGTGGACGATTAACCAGAACTTTCGGCCAGAGTTTACAGTTGGTGAAAGAAAATAGAGGAAAAGATATACATGGCTAAAGAGGACATTTGGTCCCCTTACAAAATTATTTATTCGGGTAGTCTCAGCGACATCTCCCTGCTTGAAATGATTGTTGGGAAAAGGCCACTAGAGAACCTCAGACCTTCACCCCCTCCCCCCTCCACTATTCAATTCATTGCCTAGAAAATGTGTAAGGTGTTGAGAGAACAACCCCTCCCCCCCCCCCCAAAAAAAAAATAACGGGGGGCGGGGGGGGGGGGCAATCTCGAGTGCTGGAGGTCCCGGGTTCAAGCCCCGGTAAAGGCTGGGATGTCTTTCACGTGGACTTCTAGCAATTTCCCCTGATCTCTGTGTATTGTTGCGCACGTAAAACATCAATTGGCAGTTGGAAATGCAACAGAGTAGCCAAACGGCGCTGTCCGGGCAAATTTTGGAGTTGAAAATCTACCCAAAGTATTTCAGGATCCTCGCCGGTGCTACCGAGTTCGTGCACCGCGCAGAGAATCTTCGGACTCAGGCTTCGGACCACTTATGGGTTATACCCGTGTGCCATGATGTTGATTCGTTGTTTAAACCTTAACCTAATGTTTACTTACTTTTTTTCGGGCGGGGGCGAGGGATGGGGGGAAAGGGGGGGGGGGTCTGAACCTCCACCCAATTTTTGCCTAGTGTTTGGACATTTGTCTTTCAGGAGCCACGTTAGCGCAGTTGATAGGAGGCTAGCTTTCATATCCAGCTGCGACTTGCTGCAGGCAGCCACGGTGGGTGTTTGAAATCGGGAGTTCCCGGAGTTTACCCAGCCTCTAGGAAATGGGTACCAGGGTGACACACTGGGGTAAATGGAGGAACGTCGCTGTAGCTACAGAGTTACGTGCGGACAGCGACATATGCGGACAGTTTCTTCTCAGCTGTCCGTACTGGTGGCAGAGCTCTTATGGTTTATAACCGTGTGCAATGCCGCTGGTTCACATCTCCTGACTTTACCTTTCCGTTTGTCTTGTTTCAGAACTTGACTTTTGCTTGCACATCCATTGTGCTGCCATGGTTTTTTTTTTGTGTGTAAGCAGATTACAGAGTGCTGGTTCGGATACTCGACAAAAGACGGAATAAGTCATCTCGTGTAGAGACAACATGGTTAAAGTTAATATAAATACGATTACCTGTAATGTTATTTGCAACGCGGACTCCTTTGAGTACTGACTTGAATACTGAATTATGTTTAACCCAATCAAGACAGAAACACGAGCGATAAACACCCCGTGACGCAAGATGCCGTTAAGCACTGTGGCGCCGTTCAGTTCAAGAGTGCAAATTTTATGGGGCTCACTGTGAATCATCACCGGAGCTGCGGAGGTCGTGCTCTGTGCGACGCTCTCGGCAGGCAGCCAGCTGTTCTGCGGAGAGGGACTGAACCATATGGGGTAAAACCTAGTGCAATGAAGTCGATCCTCTCAGATCTTTATTTCAAATGTAAAAAAGCAAAGCGCATGGGCATTCACAGTGAGCTCAAAAGGAAACATGAGGGAGGTAAGTGACGCTGTTAAAACAAGCATCTTTACAGTGGAGACCACAGCTGTCGCAAGGATATTGGCACGGCTAGGAGCTCAAGAGTTTACACTTCCTGACTATGCCAACAAGACGGTTAAATTAATATGCTGAAGAAATGAAGACAGGTCTCATTGGAAAAGAATGGACTACTGAATTAAGCCATTGAGAATGGCTCGAATAGAACATTTATTGTTATGCAGGATAATGCGGGTGTTCGAATCAACAAGAGTGTAGATTATCTGGCGAACACTGTGGTTGCAATGACCGACCCGGTTCTAGACAGAAGCGACGTCATCAATGCTATAAATGACGCAATTAGCGAAGGCAAACACGGTAACGATAGCAAGCATTTTTCGTAACCCGGCAGGTGGATGGACAGGGGTGGGCCCATGAGTAACCACCATACATGAGCTTTCCCTAAAAAAAAAAGCGGCTAATTAATCAACACAATACAAGCGTTGCCGGTCTTTAATGCGTTGCCGGTCTTCAATGAGTGTTCTGATGATGTCCTCACAACGGCCGACTCTATTCTGGAAAGGGTGGTGGTCCCCACCAATCTGATGTAATAAAACTTTATTCACTTTGTTTCGTAATTTAGCCTGACATGTTAGCAACAAATCAAAAAATATTCCGGCAACAATTCCGAATAACGCACAATTGAATGGATAGATGTTTTTGTGTAAATAAAATTGAGTTGTTTTGGTGAATTATTTGCTTTTAAATTTAATAGCTGAGAGCATTTACTTCTTTAAAATCGATTCTGAGATTGGAACTATTAGTATTATTGTACATATGGACGAGGTGATTTTTTTGTTTTGTATTTTATTTTTACTTTCTTATTTTATTAAATTTTATGTCAGATTTCTGTTTTATTCATTCATTTTCATTTCTTTCTCGTCCTTCCAGCTTCTTGAGTAAAGAGTGTGCCAGTCTAATGTACTGAACTGTAACTTAGCTAAAAGTAATTTTATGCACAAGGGCGTCTATTTTGTTGACATCTGGGAAAGGGGTGGTGGGGGGGGGGGGGGGGGGGGGGGGGGTGGGGGAGGGGGGGGCTGGGCGTGGGGGGGGGGGGCTTGAGTACCACTAACTATTCAAATTCACATATTGTCCCCTCCCTCCACCCCCTGGCCTTTTTCTTGAAGTTTTGACATCTCTGAGACTAAAGAGTCGCATATCTTGGGTTTAGGTTTAGACGACGGATCAACATCATGGCACAAGGGTATTAACCCATTAGTGCTCCGTTCTACTTCTGACTCAAGCCTCAGTATGAAGAATCTCAGCGCAGTGCATGAACTCAATAGCACCGTCAAGGATCCTGAAATACTTTATTACTTTGGGTAGATTTTTAACTCCACATTTTGCGAAAGAGACGCAGTTGGGCTACTCTTTTTCGATTTCCAACTGCCAAGGGATTTTTTTTTACGTGTGCAGCAAAACACACGGGCGTCTGATCTTACTACCCAGAGACCAGGGTAAATTACTAGAAGTCCACGAAAAATCCCAGGTCTCAACTGGGTATGAACCCGGGAACTCCAGCACTTGAGGCAGATGCCATGCCTCGAGACCACACAACCCCTTATGCATATCCTAGGTCACCATTGCCAACAGTCTGTGATACAGTTCCTAGGTTGCCGTTGCCAACCCAACAGGGCAAATTCCAGATGGCACTCATTCAACAACACAGCCACCCAGTAAAGTTGTAAAGTAAATCACTCCTAAAAGCACACCAAATACTACCCTCATTTTCCCTGTGTGGGTGAGGATTACTTAGGGACTTTCCAGTTAAGGGTAAGATATTTATTTTATAGCCAGTAAAGTCAGAAAAAATTACTAAGTTCTTATGTCTCATCTTATGATTTATTGAACTGATATAGTCGTCAAAGCTTTTTTTTCTCCTAAAAAAATAGTTGCTGAAACTAACCATGAAGTCTATAAAATGTACCTGGACTCACTTCAAGCTTTCATTTTCAGTTGTGCTAAAAATAAATGGTACCTTAAAAATATTCCAGTACTGTGTACTGTTGCGTCCCACCAGAACAGAAAAAGCCCTGGGAGTAGTCATATGGATACACTGACCAAAGTAATGCACATTCACTTCTTTTTAATGTATTCTACAGACAATCAAGATTTGCATTCAGGAGATCAATCCACATGTTGTCTGCTCTCTTTGTGGAGGCTATTTCATCGATGCTACAACTATTACAGAATGTCTACATACATGTAAGAAATACATTCTTTGTTACATGACAAGCCATTTTACTGATAGAAATGATGCTGACATAATGCATCTGATGACATAATGGTTAGAGCACTTGCTTGTCAACATAGGAGTCTGTGATACAGTTCCTAGCAATGGCAGAATTTTGCTGTTGATCTAATATTACTCTAGAAGCAGTGCAAACTGATATGATAAATTTGTTTTAGAATTTTTAGAAGCAAAAGTAATGAGGAACAAACCTGAACTTACATCATCATTCTGTGACCTAGTACCTTTCATTACAGACGTCTGTGAGGGAATCTTTGCAGGTTTATTGATATATATATGTCTATAGTACTGGCTGTTTAAATATTTTTAGTGACTAACTTGGCATCTGTTGGTGAAATTTAGTTGCCACTAATGTCAACACAAAAGAGGTATTCATTTCTTTTTTATGAACCAAATAATCTTGAGATGCCTTGCCCCTCCCCCCCCCCCTTTTCCCCATTCTTTCACCCAGACAGATGGACATATGGACAGACACACACAGAGAGAGAAAGAGAGAGAGAGAGAGAGAGAAAGAGAGAGAGAGAAAGAGAGAGAGAGAGAAAAAAAGAGAGAGAGAATGATGGGATGATAAGGGCTTATAATATCTATTGGATAAAAAATGTCCCATTTTATGCTGCATACTCAACAGCTAAGTTCCTAAAAATTCAAAGGATTTTGATCATTTACTCATAAACATAAAAAAATGAAAGCCACACCTCCTGAAATAAGAAGATGTTTGCATAGACCTCACATATTTTAAAGCTTTCTTTGAGGAATTTAGGATTAGCACAATTGCTTGTTCTCCTGGAGTGGTGAACTACCAGGCACAACCACAGGCAGGGAATTGTGGAACATCTAAACAGGCAGATGCATCTCAACAGATATTGTTCTGGATCAGTATCAGTGGTATTCTTCAATCCCATTTTCTAAGACAAATTTATCTGAGATGAAAAAGCTGTTACAGACCTAACTGTGGTACTTGTTCCAACTGTGTGGAGCGGGATAGTGGGTCTGCCTCCACTGAAATGCCCATAAATCCTACAACAACACTCTCATGTCAGCATGGCCGGTATAAATGTAAGTCACTGGAAAGGAATATCTCGGCATTCAGACTGTGCTGCCACTTTGCAGGTGTTATTATAAGATGAAAAGTTTAAAGGAAACAGCTGACAGAAAAGACAGTAAGGCTTCCCACAAGAAATGTATTAGGTTTTGTCAAAATGACAGGAAACATAAGGACATGCAAACATCTGCAGAAATAGTTATGTGACTGTTTTAATTTGTCGCAGGGTCATTATTGCTGACCACCTTTTCTTGAGAGTACACACATTGGCAGCCAGTTCCTCGCCCTGTAAGAATCTTAAAAACAAAAAGACCTTTTAAAAAATTTTAATAAAAAAGAAGGCAATCCTCCAAATAACGGACACTAAAGATGGCAGCTGCAAAATATCCTTACGAGCCTCAGTCACGTGTCAATTGCGCACTTCTGGTGACTTAATTTGCGGTTCTTCCGGCGACTACCGCCACGAGTCCCCCACGCCCTCACGTGGCGTGAATTAGGGCTAAGCTAGATGGCTAGGACTCACGAGCAGCAGCTTGGGGGACTCTTGGCGGTGGCGGTAGTCGCCGGAAAACAGCAAATTAAGTCGCTGGAAGTGCGCAGTTGACACATGACTAAGGCTCGTAAGAATATTTTGCGGCCGCCATCTTTAGTGCCCATTATTCGGAGGATAGCCAAAAAGAAAATTGTTATAATTTTCTGAAACTCTGCCTAAAGAAACTAGAGGAAGAGATGAAAGAAGCAGAAGAAATTTTGAGCCTTGGTCAGTTTGTTAAAAATGCAGAAGGTCAAACACTGAGACCACCAAACAGACAGGCAGGCGTTAATGTCACAGCTTCTTCACTTCCATATAGTCGAAACAAAAATTTGATTTGATATATATATATATATATATATATATATATATATATATATATATATATATATATATATATATATATATATATATATATATATATATATATATATATATATATATATATATATATATATATTCTTTACCTTCTTCAAATGACTGTTTGGGGCAAAGGTAACTTTTATAAGAAGCGGAGTAATCCCTAAATACGAACAGCACAAAGAGTTAACAGTTTTCCTCCCCTTTGATCATGATAAACATGGTTTTATTGGCCTCACAATATGAAGCAAAGTGATGTCATAATGACATTATTATGACATAATGGTGTCACAATTTTTATGTCATAATTATAAAAATGCAGTTTTGTTTCACCTCAAGTAATAAACAATGTTTATTTTTTTGGGGGGGGTTAATATAGTACCCATCATACCTATGCACTGTGCAGGTGCAACCAGTAACAGAGCTGATATACAGGTGTAGTGGCTACTGGATAAAGCAGAAGTTCTCAACCTGTGGGCTGGGTCCCTTTTTTGGGTCAAATGACCCTTTCACAAGATTCACCTATGACCATGGGAAAACACATATCATTGAAGTTTTGAAGTAATAATGAAAATAATTATATGTTTTGGGATCGCTACAACATGAGGAACTGTATTAAGAGGTCGCCGCATTAGGGAGGTTGAGAGCCACTGGTCTAAAGACTCCATGTCATCAGAAACCAGGAAAAAATGACCTTTTTGGGATGACAGAGTTGGAGGAAAGCTGAGTAGAACAACAAATTGACCAAAATCTCTGCCTCACAGAAACACCAAAAAATGCAGAAGGAATGAGTAACAGGAAGGTGGTGTGACTCATTCTAATAATACTTTGTGTCCCTGTATGTGACAGGTTTATAGTCTGAATTCTAATTTGTTTAATTTGATGCTTTTATGTTTGAATTTATATGCTGTGATGATTGGTGACACTGACATTTTCTTAAAATGTTTTTATGTAGTTTGCAAGAGCTGCATTGTGAAGTACCTGATGAGTTGCAAGCACTGCCCACAGTGTCAGCTAAAAGTTCATGAAACACACCCCTTGTTTCTATTAAGGCCAGACAGGACATTACAGGACATTGTCTACAAACTCATTCCCAACCTGTTTGAGAGTAAGTATGGATTGTTTTTTAAATCTGAAACCATCAATAAATGAACATAGTATAAAAAAATCAGATGGGCTGAACTGAGATAAAGTAGTTACATTAAAATGAGTAAATTAATAAAGATGAATTTAGCCAAATTTACAAGAACAAAATCACATATGGTGGGTCTGTGGCTTGAGGTTAGTGAATGCGATTGACAATGTCACAATTCTTGACATACGAGGGTTCGTTGTCCTCGGTGAATGGTTTGAACAAGACATCTTGTTCTTGGCATTCGAACAGTAATACAGGAGTCATACCATGGCAGATTTGGACCTCACCATGTAATATTCCCAAAGACAGCAATGAGTGCACTGTAGCCAGTATTCATAATGGAGCTAGGGTACACTTTGTTTAATTTTTGAGTGACAGAATGAACACTTCCTGCCCTGATGCTGGCCACATAATGAGAAGAGAGACATTGGAGAACATAGTGATAACTGGAAAGATCAGTGGAAAAAGGGGTAGAGGCAGACCAAGAGAGATTATGCTAGATAGGCTAAAACGATGGCATGGAGGGATATCATCAAGAGAGCTGTTTCAGGCAACCGGGGATCGTGATCTGTGGAGAAGCATGAGCGCCTGGGCCAGTTGGCAGGGCACATGCTGATGACGATGATTGTTTCTACTTTCAGCAGTCTGCCATTTTAAGTTGTTTGTATGACAGTGTAAGGGAACAGAGCAGATAATCACAAGTGCAGTAATATCTGTTCTTTGCCCATTCACTCTTTCATTAATTCATACTATGAGTAATTTTGTGCTGTATTGTACTAAATTTGAGCTGTGGTTGTGGACTGGCTAGGTGCTCGCCTGCCAACTTAAAGGCCTAGGCTTCTAAATCACATTGAGGAGGATTTGTTTTTCAAAATTAATCATAGTTCTCAGGCCAACCCAGCCTAAAATGGGTACCGGGTCATGTCATGGGAAGTAAAGGTGGCTGGCATGATGTTCACCACATCAGCCATCAAGTACCAACTGGTCTATAAAAATATGTCTACGTCTAAATGTTTGATGCTCCAAAGCCCTGCAAAGGGTCCTTTACTTACTTAAAATACTAAATAAGCAAAATGTGTAATTAGCTGAACATCTGTGATTTTTTAAAACAGGATGGATTATTTATTAATTAATTGTGCAAACATTGTTCAGTTTAATAACAGCACTCACAATTATTTTTCATTTAGATGAAGAACTACGCAGGGAGGAATTTAATAAATCCAGAGGAATGGCGGTTGATAAGAAACCTGGTACCAAGAAAGGTGGGAAACATGTTTATTTTCTTCTGTTAATAACAATAATTACCCCTGTGAAGTTATTGCACTCATCCATTAACAACAACTACCTCATTGAATAGCCTGAACGTTGAAACAGCAGGGGAATCTGGAATCTGTATTCTTATAGTTCTCAGCCTGTGGCTTTGGTGGTCATGTCTATAACAACCTTCCATTTTCATGTAATGCTAATAATTTTTGATATAAGTTTTTCCACATAATGCCAAACTGTCTAATATCTTCTGTATTGATGTCCTGAAGCCTCTTGTCCCCTCCAATTTTTCCATTGTCACGATATAGTCTGCTTTTCCCTGAAATAGGAGGTGTGCAGAGAAGGCAGATTTTTTCCTTCTGATGCGATTAACCAGTCTTCTCAGATCTTTCTTTTCGCTGGACCCTGTTCTGTCTTTTGGCGTCAGGTTTTGAAGAGACATCGAATGCATGCCTTGGTGTGTGCTAAATTGATGCTGGCATTCACAGGCTCAGATATTCCATCTATCCATAACTTGCTTAGATTACCTTTAGCTCTGCTTCCATTGTAAGTGACAGGGCTGTATGTGGTGCACTTCTCAAGTCTTCCTAAAAAATATCACCAACTCACTGTTGACCGCTTCTTCTTCTTCTTCTTTTTCAGTCTTTGTGTTAGAAAAGTGATACCAGGAGGCCAGAAGCTTTAATAAAAGCTATTTTGCAGCCCCATGTACCATACAGCTTTCTCTTCTTTGAGGTTGGAACAGGCCAATTTTGTCTGTTGGTAGCATATAGTTTACGGTGTTGGAGGACATGCTCAGCAACATTCTGATGCCATGTTGCTGTGAGCAAGACATGTTGAACCCCTCTTTTTCTGCTTATCGAGTTTTCTAAAAAATTGAGAAGTTAACAGTTTAGCCACCGAAGATGGGAAATTGGATAAAGAAATTGACATTAGATGCAGTAAAGTAAAACAAGTATTGGGACAGCTAGCCCCCCTCTTACAGCATAAGACAATCCCAATCAGCACAAAGAGACATCTTATTCAAAGCATATTTATTCCAACTCTGTGCTACCAGTGCCAGACATGGTCACTCACAACAAACCATAAAAGAAAATTAGTAACCACGGAAATGAGATGTCTGAGAAGGGCTGTAGGAGTGACCATAAGAGATAAGATCAGGAATGAGATCATAAGAGAACAAGTCGGCACAGAACCAATTCTGGATTACATACAAAGACAGCAAGTGAAATGGTTTGCCCACTTAGAGAGAATGCCTTGTGACACCATACCATACAAAGCATACATGGAAAGAGAAGAAGGACGTAGAGCACGGGGTAGACCAAGAACAAGATGGAAGGATAACATCAGAGAAACTCTACAACAGCATGATGTGCCTATGGTCGAGGCAGCCAGAAGAGCTAGAAACAGAACCTTAAATCTCCCTCGACACCCACAGCGGTAAAAGAGGAAGTGAAGAAGAAGAAGAAGAACAGTTTAGCCTCAAACTATCATTTCACAATTGAATAGGAAATCTAGATGAGTAACTGGACATTATGGAGCACATTAGTGGCAGAAAAGGAGATTGGAAACAGAAAAAAAAAAGGAAAATTACTGAATTTTGTTGTGCAACTTTGCCAGCAAATTTTGGTGTCCCAACACTACACATTTAGTGCCAAACAATTATTTTACCATGGAATAGAACCTCTAGATGCAGAATATGTAATCTAGGTAAGATTTGACATTTTAGAGCAAACTAGAGGCAAAAATGGAGTAGCCTAAATCTCTGATTTTGCCACAAGCAAGGGATATGTGCCCAGTGACACAAGTTGCCACCATTGGGATAAGGAAAACCCCCCCCCCCCCCCCCCCCCCCCACACACACTCACACACAACTCCCAAAAACCTTATCAAACCATCAGGTTATAATAGGTGGGGCTTTAAAATAAGAAAAACAATTGAGTCCCATTTTGGGACGGAGTTGAAGTTGCTCTGACCCATTTACAGTCAGTTAGAACCATTATTAATTTCAAAACCACACTCTGTGACAATCAGTGTGTTGGTATTACCTGAAATTTGTATCTTATACATAGAGTTTACATTTGCTTTTGTACCTGGGAGAGCCATAGCAGCTCAGTGGCTAGTATGATTGCCTGTTGGCCCTGGGGTTATCTGTTCAAATTCCCACAAGACGGATCTTGCAACAGACCAATGTTATTGAAAGTGAAGACACCCTGATGTTATCTATTTATCACACCACTCATCAAGTGGCAATAGGTTCTGTCAAATACTAGCTGTGTCCTGCCACACGTTGCTGTGGCCCAGAAGGGTGAAATAGAAAAGAAAGAAAGTAACTCTCAGCTAACAGTGTCTGTCATAACCCTCAACCCCTTCTCTCTCCCCTCCACCCAGTCATATCTCCCTCTCCGAAGGATTGAAAAATCATCCCTGGCAAAAGTATTAAAATAGAAATAGATAAGAAATGAGAACTTGAAAATAATGTTTTAAGCTCTCTCAGCTAACAGTGTCTGGCATAACCCCCCCCCCCCCCCCCAATAATATTTCCCTCTCCGAAGAAATAAAAAATCATCACTTGGCGAAATTATTAAAATAGAAATAGTTAAGAAATGATAACTGTAAAATAATGTTTTAAGCTCTCTCAGTTAACAGTGTCTGCCATCAACCCCCCACCTCCCACTAATCATATCATCCTCGCCGAAGGGTGGGAAAGTCATCATCTGACGAAATATTGTAACTAAATTGAGCTTTGCATCCGTGTCTACCCAGAGAAAAATGGATAGCAATAATGTGTACTGAGAAGTAAATGTGGCCAGTGTAACAGCTACCACATCACCCATCCAGTACCAGTACTACTGCTACCACTACCACCACCACCTTCAGAACAAAAACAAATAACAGTCACTACAGTCTGTGCAGGTCGGTGTTGCCAGAGGAGTTAGCGCCGCATGTTGTCGCCACGGACTGTTTAGTGTAATGAGCTCCCAACAAAGAAAAAGAAAAAAAAACTCCATCACTTAACCAGTGATGGAACCCACAGTAATAGTCCGTTTTATACTCACATATAGCGGAAATAAAAACCCCCACCCATCATCTCCCCTCTCCGAAGGGACACATGTTAAATGACATTAGCATCCGTGTCCATCCAAAGTAAACTGGACTGTAAGCAGTCTTAGTTAACAGTTTCTGTCATCAACGAATAGTTTATGATTGAGTGAAGCGTCGCGGGGAGGATAAATGGGACTTTACTGAAATTGGATGTCTGCGAAAGGTGCAGATATCGCAGCCTAACTGTAAACCACAACACAACGTAGCAACCACCCTTTAAAGGAAAAAAGAACAATTATCACCCAGCGGGGAATCCAACACCGGTCACCTGCGTGAAGGATAACATACTTACAACTTTACTACCTAAGACTAAAGATTTTGGGTCCGATATCACAGCCTAGCTGCAAACCACAACACAATGTGCCAATGGCCCTCTCAAGTGCGAACGAAGATTACCCGTGACATGACCAACATCACGTCGCCGCTATCCCAGGCTAGCTCTAAACCCCCAAACCGAGCGGAAAAAAGACGTAGATATCGCAGCCTAGCTGTAAACCACAACGCAACGTGCAAGCCGCTTAGTTAAGGGCCAAAAAAAAATGTAATCACCTAGCGGAGCATTGATCGCCGGTCACCCGCGTAACACACAAAATATACAACTACGCTACCAAGGACCCAAGCATCTGCCCACTTATATCTCCCTCTCCGAATGATTGAAACATTATTATGTGGCGACATTGTTAAAATATAAATAGTTAAGAAATGAGAATGTTAAAATAATATTTTAAGCTCTCTCAGTTAACAGTGTCTGGCATAACCCCCCTTCCCCCACTAACAACCCCCCCCCCCCTTTTCCCCCGCGACAATCATATCATTCTCTATGAAGTATGGGAAAGTCAGTGCCTGACGAAATATTGTAGTAAATTTGAGCTTGGCATCCGTGTCCACCCAGACAAAGATGGGTAGCATTAATCTGTACTGAGAAGTAAATGTGGCCAGTGTAACAGCTACCACATCACCCATCGAGTACCACCACCACCGTCACAACAACAACAAGAAACGGTCAATACTGTCTGTACAGGTCGGTGTAGCCAGAGGAGTTGGCGTTGCATGCTCTCGCCACGGACTGTTTAGTTTAAGTGTGTCCCCAACATAAAACTCCATCACCTAACCAGTGGTGGAACCCACAGTAATATTCCGTGATTTAAAAAAAAAAGTACACTGTACTCACAAATAGCGGAAATAAAAACCTGCACTCGTCATCTCTCCCTCTCCGAAGGGATGATGTTTAATTAACCTTGGCATCCGTGTCCACCCAAACTAAACTGGACTGTAAGCCGTCTTAGTTAACAGTTTCTGTCATCGCCGAATAGTTTTTAATCGAGAAGCGTCACGGGGAGGCTAATTAGGACTTAACTGAAATCAGATGTCTGCGAAAGGCGCAGATATCACAGCCTAGCTGTAAACCACAATACAGCGTAGCAACCACCCTTTAAAGGGAAAAAAACAATTATCACCCAGCGGGGAATCTAACACCGGTCACCCGCGTGAAGGATGACATACTTACAACTATCGCAGCCTAGCCATAAACCACAACACAAAGTGCCAGCCGCCCAGTTAAGGGCTAAAAAAAAATTATATAACCTAGCGGGGAATTGAACGCGGGTCACCCGTATGATAGGCAGAATAGCTACCAACTATGCTACCAAACACTCAAGCAGATAGTGGAAATAAAATTGTATAATAATGCAAAGTTCAATAAGAGCTCAGCAGTCAGATACGGCCAATTAACTAAAAACAAATCCAGGCCGGCAACGAAACAAGAAATGATTGACTCTTGCTGGAGCTACGTCATTCATGGTTTGTGCCATTTTATGACAAAAAATTACGCTTGGAGTCAAAGGCAACGTTGTGTGCAAATTTGAAAGCAATCGGTTTAGTAGTTTCCGAGTTTTTAGCTAACAACATCGGGAAATTAACATTTTTATTAATATAGATAAATAAAATCGGATTAGCACCTTATATCCTGTTGACTCAAGGAAATTGGTAGTTTAGTTTCTGTTCAGCTGAAACAATTGTTTAATTAAATATACACTTTTTAATCAAGATGTAGTTAATTTGTGACTATTTGTCTTTGAATAATGTTGTTTCTTTTTTGCTTTTTTGTTGTTGCTAATAAAGAGTTTATTTTCTCATTTGCATTCTCAGAAAGCTTCTGTTAAAGTATGTATTTGTTTATATTTATTTATGGACATATTTGACTGTGGTTATGAACTTAGTCCACAACTGAAACCCAAACAATAATGATATTTTTGTGCCTAAACAGAAGAGCCTACAGTCCCCAAGTTGTCAAGTATTATCAACAACCCTGATGGACATTTGTACAGAAATGATGAACAGATATGCCTGTGCCTTGAAAGATATAGGTAGGCTATGTAGGAGGTGAAGTGTCATCATCATCATCATCATCATGTAGCAGGTCCTTTGCAGAACGTCGCTCTCATCACGGTCTGCCTGAAAGAAACTCAGTCTCTCGCCAGCTCTCCCGCATCATGTACTTTCATACTCAGGGAGTCACTTATATCCTATGCCCATCTTTGTGTTGGTCGGCCCCTGCCCCTACATGCTATGTATAAGTGAATACATATATTATATCTTTTTATTGTGACCTTATTCTCCAGTGAAGTAAAGACCCCAGCCAGCTGGTACTAAGCCCTTGTAACCCTGTCACTGCGTGAGAGCCCCTAGTCCACCATTGATGGATTTTTTATGACATGAAATGTTTGGGCCTGTATAACGGCTTTGATACTGGTTGCAACTGCACAGTGTGTAGGTATTTTATTGTTCTTCTTCTTCTTTACTTCCTCTTTTACCACTGCGGGTGTCGAGGGAGATATAAGACCTTGCTTCCTGCTCTTCTGGCTGCGGGTGTCGAGGGAGATATAAGGTTCTATTCCTCCTGCTCTTCTGGCTGTGGGTGTCGAGGAAAAAATAAGGGCTGCAGGTGTCAAGGGAGAAATAAAGTCCTGCTTTCCTGCTCTTTTTGCACGAATTTGAGGTATTATTCATATTTTTAAAAAATTTACTTTTTTTGGGTCATTGTTCATGTATTTTTCATGGTCAGATGCAAGAAAAGCAATTGATTCTTTCCTCCGTTTGTATTTATTGAGTTATATTCCTTCATGCGAAATCCTGTGAAAATGTGAACACAAACAGAAAAAAGAAATACAATTTTTTTTTCAGTGACTTTATGTCTGCAATGTTGCAGTGGCCATTACGCTTGCCTGTCTTCTCGATGGTCGTAAGTTTTCAACCCTCTGTTTAAAAAAAAAGAAAAAATTTTAAAACTGACAAAGACTGCAAATTTCTTCAGCTTCATCTTCTCCTCCTTTGGTTTCTTAGGGTAAAGTTTAAGAGAATTACAAGGATTACAATAGAACATGTTGTGACCACTGGAAAGATCTGTGGAAGGAGGGACAGAGGAAGACAACAAGAGAAGATTTTTGACAGTCTTGTTGCATGGCATGGATGTGTGTCGGCACATGAACTGATACATGCTGCAGGAGATCGGGGATTATGGAGAGGCATGATCACCCATGCCAGTCGGCAAGGCACCTAATGATGATTAACGGTGTGCTAAAACTGGGTGTGTTGAACGGAAAGGTGCAGATATTGCAACCCAGCTGTACACTACAACATAATGTGCCAGCCACTGTTTTAAGAGTAAACGCAGAAGTATGACATTGTACGAGTACAAATTATATTTGCATATAATTGTTTTCTCTTAGATTTGTGGCACATTTGTCAGTAATATTTTTTCTGTATCCTTTCTTTTAGGCCACAGCGTATTATGCATCATGGGAAGGTTCTGACTTTACGAGCACTAGACAGGAAGTTTCTTCGCTGTTCTATCAGAGTTTTAGTCTCTCATCTGAAGGCTATGCTTTTCAAAAAGCTGGCTATACCTTCAGATGTACAGGTATGCTAACAGACAGACATATCTAACTGCTTAAAATGTTGATGTGACAGCAGAGTTATTGTCATATGTAAGATTCCTTGTGTCATTCACTGCTGGATGGTAATAATGGAGCAAGTGAAATTCTTAGAAGTTATTAAATATGATAGAAGTTATTAGATATGTATATTATAAATGAATCTGATCAAGTTTATTTTTTTATTTTTTAGAAGAGATACTTTATCTAAAAAGAACCAGAATGTATTTCAAGATTCAGTTGCTGAAATTGTGAACATTGTGTATTTAAAAATGAATAAATACATATATATATAGTGTTGATAATAAACTGTAACAGGTTAAAAAAAAATAATTTAAGTTTGATTTGATCTCACTTAAAAAAAAATCTGATATTGAAAAACTTTATTTATAGTTTTAAAAAAAACATACATTTCAGTATCTTATTAGTTTTCTTCTATTATTTTGATTTCATTTGTTCATGTCGTACATTTTTTTGTCGTTTTTGTTTTTACATTGATAATATCCTACTCCTAATTTTATTGTTGTTTTTCTTTTATTTTGACATCCCAGACTGTTTTGCTTCATGACTGGCTCTTGACATTGTCGTGATTCTCTTAGCTTTCACTGAGAGTAAAACTCTGGCAGAATGTTCTGGTTTTCATCCACTTCTAGGGCTTTGGTCTTCTTCCAGAGTTTTGCAAGTGCAACCTTTACACAGATCTGGTTCATTTGATTGCAGACTGTTGGTTCCTTGCAGGTGCAGCTCGACTTAACACCTATAATTAGTTACTTTTTATGACATTTTTGTTTGGTGGTGAACGGATGGAGGGCTGATCCTCCCCCCCCCCCCCCCCAAAAAAAAATTTGGTCCTTGGAACTTACCGGGGGGGGGGGGGGGGGGGGGTTTGAAATTTCAGTGTGCAATGTCACACATAATGGAAAACACTTATTTAAGAGCTTTGAAATGCATATATACATGTAGATATTGAGTTTAAATCATTACTATTTTTTTTTCTAAAAAATGGCATTTCATCCTCGCTAACGGGTATAGGTGATCATTCTTCTCCACATCTTGCAACCTCCAACAACATATAACACTTAGTGACTTCTTGTGCTCATACTTGTATATGCTGTCAAAAAGGTTGACAAGATGCTTCTCGTCATGCCTTACTCCATCTCTCTTTCCATTAATTTACTAGTTCTCACATAGTTCGGTTTTTCTTATCTCAAAATATGGCCTCCCTTACCCTCCCCCACAGACCCCACAAAATGTCTGTCTCTTTCTCATATTTTTGATGTTATCTTTTGTGTATTATTGTCTTTCATTTTTTGATTAATTGTAACTTTTCTCAAAAAAATTAATTTGTCAAAGTTTATCTTTTATAGTTTTCGATCATTCATGAAGATATAATGTATTATTTTGTTATTTGCAGATTGAGGTAATCTGTGACAGGGAAATGCTGTCAGATGAAGTGTCCATGAAACAAATATTTTTAATGAACTGGTTTGGCAAGGTAAGAATATTTTCTTCTTTTGCCTTTTATCTCCCAGTGGAACATGGACCTCAATCAATACTAAACCCTTTCAGGTAAAGCAAACGGATCACCTTCATAGTTGCTCTGTTCCTATGCCAATAAAAGCTACACAGAATATCAGTCACTGTGAGGAAAACATCAGGAAGATAAGGGCAGGAGAAATACAACCAGACATCGGAAAGAATCGAGCGGTCTGAGAGAAAGAAGGACTTAGCCAGAGAGCTGGTGCAAATATCACAACATTAGCCACCTAAATAGCAAATAAACCAGACCACATATATAACCAGAGACTGTTGGTGGCTTCAGCTGGCTAGCAGCAGGTTGAACGTGGTTAGGTTTTTTGTTGTTGTTGTTGTAAATGAACTTGGACTTTTACTCCGTTACCGTAAGACTGGCTTTATTCTTAGCATTCGTCTGATTTCAAGATTTCGTATTCTGTCTTTCCTTGAAACTCCTGCAGCTCTTCTAAGGCATTTCATCTCTGCAGGAAGCAACCAAAGCCAGGAGGAAGACAGCAATACTAAGAAAACTAAGTGGAACCACATGGGGAGCAGATGGGAAAATACTCAATAAAGTATACAAGCAGAGCATACTTCCACACTTGGAATATGGGTCAACTGCATGGTGTTCAGCATCTAGTACCACATTAAAGGAGTTAGACAAAGTGCAAAATCAAGCGCTCAGAGTCATCACAGGAGGGATGAAATCAACCCCCATATTAGAAATGGAGAAAGCTGGGAAAACACAGGCACTGAGAGAACGCAGAGATACAAAGTTGCAAATACAAGCTGAAAAGTTCCTCAGTATGCCAGATCACCCGATGGAAAATAGATTTAAGAACCTAGCCTTGGGACGGTTAAAAAGAAACAGCTTTATACACCAAGCAAAAAGAATATGTAGACAAACTCCTGACCTTCCAGAAATTGGCTGCCCACTAAAAAGTATTCCGGAACAAACCCCATGGAGAGAAAAATGTAAACTAATGGTACAAATCCAGACAAATGTGAAAGGGATATTTGACAAGAAAGAGCAAGATAGTGTACAACGCAAAATGGCCACCCTCAGTTATATTGATGAAGAATACCCACAAGAACAATGGGTCAGAGTCTATACAGATGGGTCCGCAGAAAGTGCAGTTAGAAATGGTGGTGCTGGAGTGTACATCAAATTCCCAGATGGTACTAGGGATAAGTCCAGCGTACCAACCGGGAAGTACTGCCATAACTACGATGCAGAAACCCAGGCTATTAAGATAGCTACAGAGAAACTGCTAAATACCAACCTTGGCTCACAGTATGTGGTAATGCTTACAGATGCTAAATCAGTACTTGAAGCACTCCAGTCTAGGAAACTACCAGAATTGCAAACACTGCTGACACAACTCAGCGTTCAGCGAAGAGTCGTAATGCAGTGGATACCGTCTCATTGTGGAGTGCCTGGAAATGAGAAAGCTGATCAACTGGCAGGGGAAGGTGCGAAAAAAAGAGCAGCCAGATGTACCAGTCACATACCACCAAAAGAAAAGAATCATTAAATCGATCAGGAAACCACCAGCCCCAGCACAAGACGACTATTTTATTATGGACAGACCAGAACAAGTCATTATCTTCCGCCTCAGAACAGGGCACAACCGATTACGTAACCACATGTACACAAAATTCAAGATAGGTGTATCAGCCATGTGCACCTGTGGAAATGTGCCCCAGACCGCAGAGCATGTACTCCAGGACTGCACCGAATTTGACACATTAAGGCAAACCTTTTGGCCAGAAAGAACAACAGTGGAACGTAAACTCTATGGACCACTGAATGAACTAACAACGACAGTGAAATTTATACAAGAGACAAAACTGCTGATATAGATAACTTATTTCAGGCGAACGAAAGAAGAAGAAGAAGAATCTCTGCAGGACACTGCTCTCTTCATAGTCTGCCTGAAAGAAACTGCCCCTCTTTCCTGAGACCATGCTTTATGCTATTAATTATTTTTCCAGTCCACTTGGTGCTTGATATGACCAAAATATTTAAGTTTCCCGGACAAGATGCTTTTTAAAAGCCAATTTTTTTATAAATATTCAGTCTTTTAGGATGTCACTATTTCTTTTCTTCTCTGTCCGTGGTATTCAGAGATTTGTACACACTTGACTGGTGTACTGTAGTAATATGTATCACTTGTTCCAAGAGCTCTATTTTGGGGGGGGGGGGGGGGAAGGGGGGGGGGAACGGGGAGAATAGAGCCACTGCTTCCCCCTTCCCTCAGTAATTTTTAGTCCGGCGGAGCTCTTTCCCACAGAAAGTTTGTCAGGATGCTAAGTGATTTCCTTAAATATGTACATATAATTTTCTTCTTCGTTCACTGGCTGTGAGCTTAGGCAGAAATTCCCGGTTGTTTGTTGATTTAGATTTTGGCTTTTTGCCAAGGCCTGAGTTTTGTGTGTTCATCCATTTTACTGGCTTATTTTTGTGCAGTTGATTATTTCTTGCTGCTCGGTCAAACACACTCTGTCTTTGAAGGAAGTCCTCAGTTAGTTGATTCCTACAACCTGGTTGTTGGGGAGTCGGTCAGTAGGTCTGTTCTTGTTTTCCCCACAATGTGGCCCCGTAATGTACACAGGAAGTATAGACATTCTCCTTTTAATTATTTGTTTACACATTTCATATTATTTTAGATAGGATATATTTTGATATTTATCTGCCATTTAGTACATAATAATAATAATTATTCAGGATTCAGATTTTTTGAACGTTAATGCCACAGACGTATTTTATGAATTAGTTATTTAGAACACAAAACTAATAAATATATCAGAAACAAAATATACAAATTTGCGGGACATCAGGAGCCTATCTTGGCAGTGGTGAAACGTCGCAAGCTAGCTTGGTTTGGGCATGTGGTGAGACATGATTCGATTGCAAAGACTACTTCAAGGAACATTGGGGGGGGGGGGGGGGGGGGGGTAGTCGAAGAAGAGGAGGGCAAAGACGAACCTGGAATGACAACATCAAGAAATGGACAGGATTAAGTTATCAATCATACGCTTATTCATCAAGCGGAAAACGGAGAAAGATGGTGGGTTTTATGTGCTAGTGCTTCCATCAATACACCTCCACGAACCTAATGTGTCAAGGGTTATGTTATGTTAATAATAATAATTTTTTCATGCTTAAACAAGAATTAAGCGCCTCCCCCATACCGCAATGATTTTTTTATGGCAGCAAATACCCCTCTTCCCCCAAGCATAGCCCTTAGCCAGCTCATGCCAAATTATTAAGTTGCTTGTTGTCACATGCAGCATACCCCGAGTCCTCCCCCATCTAATTCACCTCATTAAGTTTGTTAAATTTTGTATTTCAGGAAACCCCAATGGTTTTATATTACAGATTTCGAGAAACTTCGGACAACAGTGTTACGTGAACAAGAAATGACCAGCAGCCTTAATCTCGTCGATTGAATCTGGCAAATTTGCATAATGTCTTGATTCCCTTTGTCACAGATGTAACTGAGAATAGCATTTAGTTGAGTTATGCTTTAATTTTAATTCTGTGGGGGGGTAAAGCAAGGAAAGAGGTGAAGGAAATAGGAAGTGACAGAAGATAAAACAGCTGAGGGATGGAGGGAAAACATGTAGCAGTGATCAGCTGAATTCTTCTTCTTCTGTAGTCCTGTTCTTCTTTTCACCATCATGTTTTGAAGAGGCTGCAGATGTGAGTCTTGGTAGTTGCCTCACAGTAATACTTGTATCAACATAGAGGAAAATCATAGATTTATGAGTTGAGTTTTGTAAAAGTGTGTCTTCATAGGACATGGGCAAAGAGATGTGTTCCGATCTGCTTTCACTGGTTGCCTTTAGTTCCCAGAGCATTTCTGGTGCTCTTGGGAGCCTAGATTATCATCATCATGTGCGCGCTAATAAGAATAGGCAAACATGGTTCACCTTGTCACATGATCACCAGAATCATTGACCAGGTCACTGATCTTGTCGCACCCCCATCCATATGACCAAGCCAACTATGTATTCATCTGTTTGCCTTCCCCTTCTTCTCCCCCCTCCCCCCATATCAATCTCGCTGGTTGTCACCATCTTTTACGGCATCGAGTGTTGAGAGAGATGTAAGGTTCTGCTTTTTGCTCTAATTATATTTTCTGTAGTGGTGATAAATCCATTGCTGGCTTACTAGACCTGTCACAATTTTACCAGAGCTCCCGTTGGCCAGGATGTTTTGGGGTGACACAGGGTGGCCTTCATGGCTACCGTAGCAGTCCCATGGCACAAGGCCACATTATACTTCACTCAGTCCTGGCAATCCCTTACTTTGTCCAATTTTAAAGACCAGATCAATGCACAGCAAACATAAATATTTACCTTGATGGGCATTCAGATACTTGACAACCAGGCTGGCTGGCACATTTACCACAATTGATCTTCTGTAATGTATAATAACTAAATGTGGATATCATCTGTTGGCTGTGAATCAAGAGAGAGACAGAGGGAGGAAAGGAATGAAATGAATGAACAAACAAACTTTATTTTCAAAGGGTTAAGAATTGGGCACACAGGTCTTCTAACATCCTGCCTTCTTTCATAATCATTTCATTCATACATATGTTAACAATTAATAGTAAACACTTTCAACAGTAGCTAAAGAGAGGAAGGGAAGAAGAGAGGAAACAAATAAAAAAGGGATGGGAGAGAGAAGAAGGAAGGGAGAGGGGGAAGGAGGAAGGAATGATAGAGGAAGATAAAAGAAAGAGAATGGAAGAGAATTGATGGAGACTTGTCACTTAGTTGATAAAGCTGAGCCACTAGACACAGTAAAGCCTTAAAAGCTGGCTCAAATACTGGATAGTTGGATAATGAATAATGTTTTAAACACTCCAAAATGAAAGACAGCTACAGTAGGAAATAGAAAAACTGTGTTGGATTTAGTACTACTGTTTGTGTTTATACATTTTCATGTTGTTATTATATATGTTCTTCTTCACTTTTACCAGCTGGAAACTCCGGCAGATAGTTTTGGTTGTTCGTCCACTTCTGCTCCCTAACTTGAGTTTTGCTTGCACATCTGTTTTGCAGATCTGGCTTATTTGTATACATACTGTTGGTTCTTTACCTGTCTGGCAGATGCACTATGACTTCAAAGGAAGTTGGGTGTATCAAACATTGATATTGAATTTGCCTCGTTGATTTGATTTGATTTGATTCAAGAACCGACATCACAGCACTCGGGGCATTCCCATAAGCGCTCCGTCACCATCTTCAGCAACCAGCGAAGAAGTTCCGATACTAATGGTGCCTGTAGCTTTCTGATTAAACGTCCATCTTGCCTTTCCTCTGAGCCTCGAGCTTCTGCCAGAACCTCTCGTCACCCCCAACTGCATCAATCTCACCAGACTGTGGTGATCCATCTGCTCCTCCGAATTGTACACGCTCTCCCACAAGGCACTAACCACGTCTGCCCTCTCATGTAGCAGTATTCCACCAAGTTGTGCAGAGCCAGCCAGTCTGTCTGCCTGTTCATTTCCCAACACACTAGCGTGACCCGGTGAAAAAATCCAGACAATACTCCTCACTCGTGTTCTCCGCAGCGAAGCATGCCACTCTGCACGAAGCATACCTGTTCTGATCTTCCTTAGCATGCTTTCTGAATCAGTTACAATCACGATGTGTGTGTGTCTCATGTTCTTTAGCCAGCAGAAAGCTGCAGTGACCGCCTCCACCTCCATTCTTAAGCTGGATGTTTTGGTATCATATGCTAGGCTCTCCTGCACCAAACGTAGACCATTAACTTTTGCTAAGAAGCCCCAAGCACTTCTTTTGCCTCTTGACACTGAACCGTCTGTGTAAATGATCAAATCCTCCGAGCAAACATTATCTTGAATTAATTGCTGAATTTCCACCTCTGTGGCACCTGCTGACCAGTCTCTGCATTCCCGGCTCAGCGTGATTATGACTCTACACAGGTCTGACTGCTCAGGTGGCACTTTGACCCACTCCTCTCCTCGCCTAATGTTCTCAAGGATGCAAACCTGTTTGATTGTGTCTTCTGCCTGAGCCATCCATGACCTCCCTCTTATCAGCCGCTGACACCTTAACTGCACCCAGAGCTTCATGCAGAGGGTGGTCTGTGTCTGCAGCTACCCTGAGATATGACTTCGCCTGCAGCACCTTGTGCCTACCTGCAACCGTCGGCAAACCAAGGATGTATCACATACACACCACTGGGGTGTCTCTGGTACAACCCAGAATGACCGGCATAGCCGCGTTCTGTATGCGCTCTAGTTTGTCCATCGGACTCTTTGAGACGGTAAGCAGTCCCAGGCCATAATCCACCACTGACAGGATCAGGTGCTGATATAGTGTGAAAAGCATTCTCTGCTCTATGTCAATTGCAGCCATAGTCTTAAGTGCACTAAGTCCTTTTTGGCATTTCGTCACAACACTCTCCACATGGTCCTTAAATGACATGCTCCTGTCAAATGTAATTCCTAGATACTTCAGTTTGCTCTCTCTGTTGACGTCATTTGCCTCTTTAAGTTTGCATTAGCATGTCTCAGAAATTGATATTTGATAGAGAAGATACCATAAATGACATCAGTTTAAAAAAAAAAAAAAAAAAAAAAGAGATATATAAAAAAAATATGTCTTGATGGAGAGAAGAGACCATACATATTAGAAGTACACCCTAACTGAGAGAAGACACCATAAATATAGGAAATACACCCTGACAGAGAGAACATACCATAAATATACCTTCTTATAAGCAGCCTTTTTTTCTGTAGTCATAAAAGCTAATTGTCACAAGCACAGTATATTGTCCTTGAAAATGATGCTGTAGTCAAAAACATTTAGTTTTTTTTTCAGATCTAGTTCTTTGTGATTCCCTTCTGTCTTTAATTTTAGGACTCTTGATTTTTTTACTTTAAATCTACTTGGATTTATTTCTGTGTGTTGTTTAAATCCGTTTAATTTAACATAGCTGATCATAGTGTGTTGTTTAAATCCGTTTAATTTAACATAGCTGATCATAGTGTGTTGAAGTGTTTGAAGTGGATAACTGTTTTAAATATAAAATGTCAACAACTGAGCATACTAAGCAAACATTTCAGTGCACTCTAGGCAAACCAAAGGGTAGTCAGTCTCCCTTAGCAGTTAGATTGAAGAATATATATACCAATTAAGAGTAATTGGTTACAGCAGAAGTGAATGGTATACATTTTATAAAGTTTGGTACGAATAATACAGGTGAACCATTATTTTATTGCTATGATATGTCTATGCACATGCTACAACTAAAGAGACAAACACTTTTTGATAATGCTTGCTGACAATAGCTTGAATAAAAGACTATTTTTGATGATAAATTTGCTTCTTTGATTCAAGTTCATTATTTTTTGTAAGAGTGTGCATGTAATACAGTAGCAGAGTTTTGATTAGGAATGGACAGTACTGAGCATGAGAAACTAACTGATGAAGGAAGAGGACAAGACAGAGGATAAAGAAGAAAAAAAAAAAGGAGGAAACAATATAGGAAGTAATTTGTCAGTACTTAAAAGGGAAAAAAAAAACAGAACAGCGTGAAAGGCATTTTGTCCCACTACCTTAATTATCACCATCAGCATGACAGAACATTGGGTATTCCATGACAAGTTGGTTAAAATATATCCTGTCTTGCATCGTTTCTATTCTTTACAGATTTGGCACACCTCGCTGGTTTATAGAGTTGCAGAAGAGTTCTATAAAACTTTCCCCGTATAGGTGGTACTTTATTTAGTATAGCAATCTTTCTCTACAAAGCTAACACTGATACGTACCTAGAATAGAGGGTGGATATATTCCACCGATCTTTACAGAGAGAAATAGCCAGACGAGGTCAGCAAGAAAACCCTCTAATTTATGGATGGTGGAAAGGGGGGGGAGGGATATATAAAGAATGGCAGATAACTTCTTCTTCAGCATTCCGAGCCCTTGCTTCAGATATCCCTCACTTCCACTCATCTCTCTGGTTGGCCTTCTCTTTCCAGTTGGTAACACCAAGTGTTTGCAGGTCTGTCTGGACATCTCTCCATCATCTTCTTGACCTGCCTCATAATCTACAACCATTCAGCTTCCTTGTGTATAGTTTTTTACCCCTGTTTCTGAGATTCTCTCAATATGTCCCAGCCATTTCAATCTATTAGCTCTCATGATGCCAGTGAGCAATCGTAATTTAAACAGATTATGAATTTCGCTGTTGCCTCTAACTCTCCATTCCCCGCTGTTAATATCTTTGATAGGTCCAAAGATTTGTCTCAAGACTCTGTTTTCAAAAACCTGTAATAAGCCCTAATCTCTTTTTAGTTTTGCTCCAAGTTTCAAATAACAGAGATGGTAGATAACGGAGAGACAAAAATTGTGTACACAAAAGAGCTGAACA